AGAGAATCTAATGATTTCTTCACAAAGCTAACGGAACTCTACTTGTGTACTGGAAATCGTTCTGGAAGTAAATTAATCATAAACCAGGTGCGTCAGGCGAACTGAAAATGACCATTTGTTACAAGTATGACCCGAAAGCGAGATCATTTAAAAACTGTTTAGAGGGTAAATTTTTTTGCAAGGAAGAACCGACCACATTTTTAACGAAAATTTGTCATTTTACTTGGATTACTATATTCTGAGCATACACATTCATTCTGTTATGTCACATTTATAGACTGGAAATCACACATTCTAATGATTACAGTCCATTTCATACTGCTAGACTGGTTTGTATCATTATGGCACTAATTTTTATGCACAGGTTTTTTCGAAACTTTGATATTATAGGCTAACACAACCAATTTCAGTGAACAAATAGAACTTACTGATATTTAACAGTGAGAATTCGAATATTTAACCGAGTCTTCCAGTTACTTTTGATAGTTACAGCAACTAGTTCATTACTTTTATATATATTTCATATATATAACATATATTTCAAGGCTGTTGTTGTGTAAAACTATCGTGTGTAGATTCAGTGGTTGTAACACCTAGCAGATCAGAGCATCAAAAAATTAGAATAAGAAGTTCGAGCAAACGAGCCAGTGTGCTGAAACTGACAGCACTATGACAAGCTTTAAATAATCGCTGAAATAATTATTATCTAGATCATGGATCTATTAATTGTTGTATTCCTATATCATTCATACAATGTCCAGTATTCATATCTTTGTAAAGTTATGGTATTCAATATACAACTTGTTAATGAATGGAATTATATACTTATTTTGGAGTACGACCTCTGATCAAGTATGTGGCTATTAAATCCACTAGTCCAGTTCTATTGGTTAACTCATGCTCATATGTAAAATTAATTTGGATCTCCGTATCAATCCATCCATTCATCTATTTATTTATTTGTCTACCCACCTCTTGATCGTATTCCTTCATTATATTGATGCTTAAATACTTTAGACGCTCTGAACAGTAAGGGGTAACACCCAGAAATTGGAGTCACAACAGGGCAGAACGGACTGTAGACACAACGTCTACTCCTTAAGAGTTGTCAAATGCTGGAATTCGCTGCCGACTGAACTAGTCCAAGCGACTTCACAGGAGTCCTTTAAGATGAACCTTGACCTATTCTTAAAGACTAAGGATAACCTATCATGATTTATCAATTTCTTTTCTCCCTCTATTATCGTAAATATACCTAGATTCCTGCCTAGAGGTATTGGTGATCCCCTGCTACTAGACACGGAAGCCTGTTAAGCGAAAGCTTCTTCGATTCCGTCCACAACCATTTGAACCATTCATTTCAATGCAGTGCAAACTAGACCAATCTAATACAGCTCTGAGTTTATTGAATTACAATACAACTTTTGGTCATTCTATTGTCAATGTCAAAATAAATCCAATTCAATAACAAAAAGGTTTAATTCTAGTGGTAGTCTGATGCTACTATTATTCCAGCCCATTTCTATCCATCCAATCCGTTTATGCTTCAGATGTTTATTACCACTGTACTTGCTAGCGGTTTTAATGACCAAAAAACATATTTAAGGACATTTGTACTCTAGCCTTTACTTATTCCACTCGTCCTTGGTCATCAATCATGAAGATAACGATCATAGTGCTAGTGTTGATCAGCCAATTATTCCATGTTGGTTTCTTTGTGTTACAGTATTGTCCCAGGTCGTTGGTATAGTCCTACCTGGTTATATGGTACTTGCTAGGTTACAGTAGCCGCAATAACCCAAAATAATCATATTCCTTTACATTCAAAGCAACTTCATCTTGTAGTAATTGCCAATATTTTGATGATTGTTCAAGATCAGTGGCAAGAATACCAACATTGGACATTTCCAAAAGCCTGGTACCATATTGTAGCACAAAGAAACTGGTATAGTGTAATCGTTTAGTCTACACTAACTGGTCACAAAGATATTGGGTAAAGACGTAAATGAGTAAAAGTACCAGGTAATGGACAGAGATGATAAGGTATCAGATAGCACAGGCAGGTTAATGCTCATGAAAAATAATATTAATGGATGAAGTGCGAGACATAGTCCAGGTATGTTAATAAATCCTTGTTGCTCTGGGGACACGATAAATATAGAATTCAATCGAGATCGCAGAGAGTGATTTCCTGGGCCTACCAACTCGGCAAACCTTATATAGGTAGGCTACCTGTCCATTCACGTAAGGCTTACACAGACAAACAGGAAGAAGCTCACGCGTTTCAAATTGAAAACATAAACTGCTTATACATGAACGCCGCGAGTCTACCAAACCAAATGGATAAGCTACGTGAACTTAGCAATGCTACTAATGCTCATCTGATAGGTATATATTAATCTTGGATATCTTCTCGGTTCTATGACCAGTGGCTAGCAATACCTGCGATGTCTTTGTTTCGCAACGACAGAAAAATAGGAATTGGGGGTGGATTAGCCGTATACATACGATCTTGATTGGAGGTACACCAAGTTCATAACCTCCAGTTTAACAATCTTGAGGAATCCATATGGTGCTCTGTAGGATTGTCTACTACTTCGAGGTGCCTAGTGGGAGTCATATATAGGAAGCCCATTGCCGACATCGAGTATGACAGTCGTATGCTGGAAGGACTATCCCGCTCTACGCGTTTCGGATTCACTCATATCCTGATTCTAGGGGAATTAAATCTCCCTAGAGTCAATTTCGCGGAACATACATATATTGGTGGTGAAAACTCAACTGATGCTCGGTTCTTCAACCTCATTGAAGATTTGGGATTATACGAAAATGTGAAGTCGGCAACTCATTGGAGAAACAGTCAGACACCGTCGCGCTTAGACTGCGTATTTACAAACGAAGAATTTCTAGTTGACAACCTCTCAATCCTGGCTCCCCTGGGGAAAAGCGATCACGTCGTTATAGCCTTCAGTTTTGTAGGCAGAAGTGGGATAAGATATCCCACTACAACGTGCGCTGGAATTTCATACTGTTGAATGTGTCAGCTCTACAGGACTATCTACAACAGGTGGATTGGTATATTCACTCTCAATTCGATGTGGATACTCATTGGGACTTCTTGTTGCACACGATCGTATGTGCTACAAAGCAGTCAGTTCCTCAAACGGCCCCCAAAAGTTTCAAGCAACCTACAATCATCAAGAACCACACTCTTCGCCTGCTAAGCGTCAAAAGGCACTGTTGGGCAGAATACAAACGAACTGACAACAATGGAGGGTGCAGGCAGTACAAACATATAAGGAACATATGCACGAAGGCTATAAGAGAAAACAGGCTTCAGTACCAGGCAAAGCTTATGGATAAATTTGTCTCCAATCCGAAAAGCTAATTCCGTTATGCAGCCTCTTTTCGTCAAGCAAAAAATGGAGTTTCCCAACTGCTAGGTTTTAACGGCCCGACCAATAACGCAAACCTTTGGGCTGAACAATACTCTTTGACATTTCGACCGACCCACATCAACTATACTGATGACAGCTTCATTTGTAACTGCACAGGACTTTTCGTACTGACCTGAGAGCTGACTTCGTGGTTCGGAAACTGCAGCACATAAGAAAAGACATTTCTCCTGGCCCAGATATGGTCCATTGTGCTATACTGGGGGAAGCAGCCTCAGTCCTGGCAACGCCGCTTAGCGTGATGTTTCTACACTCACCAAGCCGTGGCAAACTATCGCACCAATTTCCAAAGGTGGTCGACGCAGCGAACCTTCAAAAGCTTTTGATAGGTTAACAATATATGTCATATCAATAATCTGAAACGATTGGGTATCAGACCACCTCTAATCGATTGGTTCACTTCATACTTGAAAAATCGACATTTTTAAGTCAGTGTTAACTTCACTTTCTTTCAGGCTGTGGAATGTCCTAGTGGAGTCCCCCAGGGCTCCGTACCAGGACCTCTTATCTTCTTGATTTATATAAATGATCTTCCTCGACAGGTAACGTCAGACTTATTACGTTTTGCTGGCGACGTGAACCTCGGAGAGGGATACACAACCAAGACGATATACACGCACTTCAGGAGGATCTGACTCCACTTCAAAGTTGGGCAGACAATAACGGACTTACCTTTAACACTTCACAGTGTGAAGTTGTCCATCTGCGACATGTCGCAGACTATAGTTACAACTTAGGAAACTCCTCTCTAGTAGTATCCCGAGTCGAAAAAGATTTAGAAGTCCTGGTGCCCTACGATTTAAAGTCTTACGATAACTGTGACAAGAATGCCTTTCGAGCAAACCTCGCACTGGTAACATTGAAGCTCATTTTTGGCCAGTTTAACGGATGAAATTTCCATATAATCTTCAGCAGTTTTATCCGTCCCCACTTAGAGTACGGAAACATAGTCTTTCCTTCCTCACTCCAAGAGGATAAGGACACTCCAACGGCGAGCCACGAAGTCAGCTCGGAGACTCAAATTTAAACCTTGTGAAGAGCGCCTCCAATCACTTAACCTTTACGCATTAGAGTACAGGCGTCTTAGATGTGACCTTCTGATGTCTTACAGCATCCTTAACACTTCCGGAAATCCTCTTAAACACTTACTCAAGCTTAATCCCAGTATCAACCTATGGTGTAGCACCCAGAAATTGGAGTCACAACAAGGCAGAACGGACTGTAGACACAACTTCTACTCCTTAAGAGTTGTCAAATGCTGGAATTCGCTGCCGACTGAACTAGTCCAAGCGACTTCACAGGAGTCTTTTAAGATGAACCTTGACCTATTCTTGAAGACTAAGGATAACATATCATGATTTATCAATTTCTTTTCTCCCTCTATTATCGTAAGTATACCTAGGTTCCTGCCTAGAGGTATTGGTGATCCCCTGCTACTAGACACGGAAGCCTGTTAAGCGAAAGCTTCTTCGATTCCGTCCACAACCATTTGAACCATTTGAGTTATTTTACAGTAAAGTTTGGCGTTTGGTTCATTTAACATCGGAGGTTGTTACGTACAGAGCGTTACGTCAATGAAGCGACGGGTGGTTTTCAGTGAGTCGGATTCAGGTAATGTTCAGTCCGTTTATATTCAAAAAAGATGATGAAATTAAGACCAAGGAAAAGCCGACAGTAAAACAAAGTACGAAAAGATATTCCGAGAAGAAAAGGAAATGCACAGACGTCGATGGTATTAAATTACTTCCTTATAAAGCCCCTAGATAATCAAATATCCTGCCGTGATAACTCCCAGCAGTCAATAATCGACGCTTTACGACGACAGCAAGAGTTATGCAAAATCAACCGTGGCAAGAAAGCAAATACTATTGAAGCGTACTTCTCACAGTCTGTGAAATCCAAGAAGAATGTAGTTTCCGTTGATGATTTCTTCGGACCATCTGGAACAAAATCGAATGCTAAGGTGAGCTTTTAAATAATACGAATTTTTTGGTCCTTATCAACTCATTACTACAAACGTTTGTAAGGGAAATTGTACGATATTATTCTTCGTCGCCGTTCAATAGGTAATGGTAAAAATACTCAGTCTATCCAAACATGTTTATGAAGGTTTATTTGTATATTTTGTGCCCGTTTCCTGCTTTGTTATAATCATCAACCATTTGATTTGATATTATTAAACTGTGGGATGAACCAATTGGGTTTCAAATTGCATCTTTTAAACTCTTGCGTGAAGTCTTTTCATCTGTATGGACTTATAAGTTCATTGCATTAAAGTAGGTTTTGGTTTTCTGGTCAAAATACTAACCCTGGTCTATTACCCTGCCCCCTAACCCTAAATCCCAGTTTTAATCTTCAACATTAATTCCTAACCGTATCTTGAAACGGGTAAATGGTTGAAATTTCGCAGTGCGATTTCGAGAATTGCTTATATTCGCTCCAACACTGTTTCGAGTGCGAGATCCCTACTATTCAAGGTTGCTAAATATTTCTGTACCTATTGCGTGGTTACTTCCTGGCCTTTGTCTTCAGAGTAATTGTACCCTGTCATAAGTAGCTTAAAACAGCTTACAACACTCCACATTTGTAAAGGTGCATTACATCATGAACGTGTTATTATCTTCTTGCATATTGTTTTTACATTTTTGCATTCTTTCTCAGCTATATTTTGGCACCAAGTTTCTAAATAACAAATATTTACTCCATGCTCTGTTGTTTTTGCATCTTTTCATCTGTTACTACAACTGACTGGCTAACTAGTCACTTTTTATTTATTTATTTATTCAAACACAAATATTGGCACAAGAGGGCACCAAATATATATATATATATATATATATATATATATATAATTCCTACTCACTGACTTCTCGTGGCGGGGGTGTTGGTTACGAAAATGAGAGGACGAGAAGCGAATCTCCGGCGCTTTAACCGGATCCCAAACCAATGGTGCACGTGAGCTCCAGTATCCTGCGGGTACAAATGGCGTTTTAACCAATCGTCGGTCACCGGCTACCATGGGACTGCATCTTCTCATGATGCTCCACTGCCTTGTGGGTCAGACCTTTAGGTCAAAGGCTCGGGGTGTGACCCCCTGGGAAAACCACCTGCTTCGGTCTGAACACCCGGGCAGTACCACATCCCACACACAAATATGATGGAATGTCGTTATTTATGGAAAATACTTTTCTTGCTTCGATTAACAATCAAACGATTCACGTTATTATTACTATTATTGTTATTAACTAGTCACTCAAAATGCTTGACGCGATTATAATGTATTTACCTTCAATCCATGACAACACCCATTTCGGATGGTCCAATAAATTTTATTGAATTATTTGTTTGCTTACACTTGTTAAAACATCTGTTTTAAGCCTTCTGCTGTCGTCAGCACACCACCTCATTCACCGATGGAGATCATCCCGGATACACCAATATTATCTCCGAAAACACCTCTGGGGACCAGAGAAAGTTATAAAAGCTCACCCCAAATCAATGTTATCTCGGAGGGTGTGAAGACAACTAGTAATCAAACGTCATCCATGGTTAGTCATACTTTTGTTACTGAATTTAATGTTTTTATGAAGCATCCCTAGTCTCTTTTCTAGTTTTTACTTGTGAAACAAGTAACTTATACATTGTCTTTGAAAGTTCCGTTCTAGTTACTTATATGGAAAAGATATAAGGTTAATTATCACGATTATTAAATTTAAACAACAATAACTACATAGAAAAATCCAATCACCCTTTTTTCAGGTCCTCTTCAGCATGCTATCGTAAATATGTGTCTTACCTGCAAAGAATAGTTTTGTATACTTGGCTGTGAGCTACGCTTCATTTTAGAGCCATTCAGATTACATGGGTGCTCAGACAGAACTATGTAGAGCGTAGTTCCAACTTAGTCGGAATCTGATCACCTTGACCTTCAAGTAATAGCTTCACTCTAGCATGTTACCCTTTGTGAAGTGCTCTCTTATTAGTTAAAGGCACTCAATCTCAACTTGTTCCGGTCAGTCAATAGTAGTGTTTGTCAATGAAAAGCTATATTTGTAAGGTAATTGTGTTTGTTGTAGGTGTTTATCACCGGATATGCTTTGAGTAAATTGTTCGTAGATCCAGCTGTTCCTTTTTTTCATCATCATCTACTCTATAACATTTATTCTGTTTTATTAGGGTACGCATTAACACTATCACCTTTTACCTCTCTATTGTCGGGTATTTAGGTCGAAGCGTGATTAAGCACGTTATTGTGGGAAATTCGAGGGTGTTTTTTATTATCGAGTTCATTAAATTCACTCACATGTCTATGATTAGACACAAAGTGCTGTAGTCACAGACAAATATAAAAGGAATATTGTCTTTTCGGTTCACGTACCAGTTTGACGGGCTAAGATTAATTCTGTGATAGATATCTCATATGGATTTCCATTTGTTTCAGGCATTTAGCTTTTTCTCCGTATATGTAATCTATTTTTAGTTTCTGTCACTCATGAAATACTTATATTGTGTAAACGCTAACAACGTCTTACCATTCAAATGTCTTTTGATTTTCAATAACGTAAAATAGGTTAATGAATCTCTTAATGATAGCACTGATACTGCTGTAAAAGATCGAAAGCATTTTTGGGCCTACAAAGCTCGCGATGGTCCTCGCAGTCTTGGATCAAGAGAAATTCCTAAGGTTAGTCCTCTTAATTTGATGTAAACGGTCTAAAATATGATACAGTTTATTTTAGCTCACAATCAAATGTCATTGGTGTAGAATTTTTCATGTGGCGACTATATTTTCAGTCAATAATTGGTAAAATTAATTAATTTCTTTAGCTGGTGTAACTAGTTATTTGTCTTAAGGTCAGTTAGAAAATAAATGTGCTGTACACTAGTGGTCAGACGACATTGAGAGATCAAGCCTTACATGAATGGAGCAGTTCATAGAAGTATAAGGTGGGTTTTGTTGTGTCCATGAGATGGTAATATATGCCTTAAAAGTCCTAGTGTTATGACACTATACAATCATGTTAGTATGATTAGTTGGACTGATTAAGTCTTTGACGAAGTAGACATGAGCAATGTAGACCTCGATAAAATTATCAATGTGAGCTGAAAACCCTTTACTAACATTGGAGGAAGTAATTAAAGAAGGAAAGCCATAAAAATGAAAATAATGATAAAACGTACCCTAGATTTACTAGACAAAGTCTAAGAAAACAGTCAAAAACAAAACGTACGGCATAAGAATAGTTGAATTTTTGAGACTTATCAGTCATGTTATTTTGAGTTCACTGCAACAAACAACTCAGTTTTGACGATTTCTCTCCTGCTAGCCGTAACCAAAAGATTCCGATTTCACTGAATTTGTAGCATATTTTAATTTAACTATCTTTTAAGTTATCCACTTAATATTATATGGGTTTGGGCTAAACACAATTATTAGGTATTAGGTGAAAAAAGCATAGTGCATTTTCAAATCCTAAGTGATATAGCGGTTGAAAGAAAATCTGGCTGTCCTGTACAGCAAAGCTTTTCATTTCTACTCCAGTTTACGTACCTCGTTGAGGAATGTCACATTAAGATGTTAAAAGCTGTCCACATGCATAATTGGTAAGCTATAACTAAACACTTTCTGTAGTGTGATATTTATTAATTAAGTACAGATTTATTTACTTAGATGCGTGTCTCAAGCTTTGTATAAAGCTGTCAATAGTGTCTGGGTTTTCAAACAGAAGTAACCGGGATCTTAGTTTAGATTTATGACTTACTGTCTGAAAGCGAAGTGCTTTAACCCCTTAGCCATCAGGAATTAGTGGTTGCTGTGCACTCGAAAGGTGATCGTATATAGATTTATACAGTATGGACAAGAAACGTGGTAGTGGTGGTATTTATGCAGAAAACTAGGGATTCTTATGACCAGACAGGTAGTTTATGCAATCCTTTTTAAAATTAGATGTCTTTCAGTTTTTTCGTGATTTTTGATGGTTTGTTTGAGTTTGTCAAGTACAATAGTGGAAATGTCTCTATGAGACGACATTAGCGAAATGAAATGTATTGTTATACAATTTCCGTTCCAGGGAACTCCGGATTGTTTAAAGGGACTAAACTTTCTCATCACTGGAATACTAGAGTGTATTGAACGAGAGGACGCTGCAAATCTTATTCAGAATTGTGGTGGAAAAGTTTTAAAAACATTGGGTAAAAAGACTGATTATCTCGTTGTCGGGCGTGAACCTGGTGCAGCCAAAATCGAGAAGGTGGGTTTTAAATCTATATTGTACCAAAATATATTATTGAATAATGCCTTTAATAATAATAATAATTGTTTATTTATTAAGAGCAAAAAACTAATATTTGCTAATTCTCACCTTAAATTTTTTTATTTTTTCACCAGTTAAGCTACTTATTTCCAGCTATTTTAGTATAATCTTAACTCGGCTACTTATAAGTAGAAAGGAATAGTACTTTTAAACTGTAAAATTTTATATCTCAAGTATACCGTTTAGTTAGTCTACATTGAGGTACGAATATGTAATTAGGTCAACTGCTTGTTAAATTTTAACATTGGAGAAAGATTGAATAGTATGATAATTACTGATTTCTATAGCCTATGCATATGAGAAGAAGGCTTCCACTTATTTTAAGCAGGACCAAATTGTATCTTCTCATTAATGTGGTTGTTTAAAGGAATCTCTCGGTCTCACACTTTGTTCAGATATTCCATGTCCCAATGTTTATTGTTTCCTTGGTTGTCCGACCTATTTGATTCCAAGGACGGCTTTCACCATGCGCTGTCACATGTCTTATCCATAAAGACTCTTCTCTTCCTGGAACAGAGTTGAATTCACTTTTTGTGTCTACAGATTCTGTAACTTGATTCTTTTTTACAAAAAAGAGTTTATCACCTTACGTCCAACCCTCTCTCTTTTCCCGGGCTTGGGGCTGTTAGTAGCCTTGCAGGTAACTTGGAACTTCTGTGTTTCAAGAGATGTTTTGAGACGCTAAAGTAAAAGTAAATGCTAAATTATAGTTTATGCCTTCTGTATCTATCTGTCTTTCCCTTTATTATATTCCCACCAAGTTTTGTGCAATTATAGACGTGTGACTTCAATGGAGATGAAAAGTAGCGTGTTCAAAACCTTTTTTTTAATCTTATTAATTTTTTTCACCACACTCAAACACTTCTACAGTACTCATCACAGACAACCCAGATATGCAACAAGGACATTCAAACACTGAATTTGAAGCAATGCGAGTCCTTTTTATGAATCCTTACGGCAGATTAATTTTCAGTCTTTGTTAATAACTTACATGAAAATGATAATCAAAAGCAAGTGTAAGGATTTAAGAGTTTCGAGGTCAACATAATACTCAAATATGTTTGTAACTTTTCCCCGGCTCCAAAATAGGGTCTTTTATCTTATGAACTGTTGGGATGTGGAGATTTCTATTGCTGTGATCAACCACATGGGTCCAACATGTAGCTATCTTGACCAAGTTATCCCCCTAAATAATCGTTTTGAAAGTTAAAAAAATAAACCTTGTTCGATAAAGTGTGTTTACTTTACTTCCATCCATTCTAAATTTTTCACATATGAACTAATTATATTAGGAAAAACTGTCTTACAAATGTGATTTTGTATTTAAAAAATACATAAAGTGCTTTAATCTATCGATAATAATTATAATCATTTTCTACAATTATACAATTTACCACAACACTTCTTGATTCAATTAATATTTTCATCCTAACTGTTTAATTTCATATCAAAGAAATTTTGTCAGAATGTTTTCGTCTTAAGAGCAAGCAAACTATGTTTTTATCATTCACTTGAAAAAGAAAAGTGTCAAAGTTCATCTGATAAAGTCTGTTAAAAAAATACATATAATCAAAAAGATGACTCGTCACCTCGTTGGAAAAAAAAGTATTTATCAAATTTCCGTTTAAATAAACTGACCCAAACTCGAATAAACGTCGTCATCTAGAAACCAACACGGCATCGATTTCTTATGTCCTTAGTTTAATTATCATATGTAATTCAGGAAGATCTATTCATCATTCAAAAGATTGATTAATTTGCTATCACTTTATCAAATCCAATGAATACTTCATTTTGAAATTTTCATACCACTTCTGAGTATTATCATTACAGTTGTCTTCATTATGTCATGTATCACTCCACTGTTGATTTTTGTAATTAGTATTAACTTTATTATTTTCTCTACCTTGCTATAAATAATCTGTACTTGTTCCTAATGATCTCTCTCTCTCTCGCTTATTCTTGTGTAAATTAGGCTTATATAATCGGGGAAAATAATTGTAGCTTTTTTCTTCACCAATATACTCAATCGATTCAAATACATTACATATAAAGCATTTATAAAATTGATTCGGATATGAAAGATTTGATTTATACAAAATAAATTAAATTCATTTTGTCTCACAGTATTTATTGTTCGTGTTGGCCAGTTGTTTTTGTGCATTTAAGCAGATGTTTATTGATAAGTACTGCTAATAATACATGATAAATGGGAGAAAGACCCAATACCCCTTGAATTTCAATTATTCATGGATACTACTAATCTACAAACCACTACATATAAAAGCCTAGTCTAGCATTGTGTTCACTGACAGATTAATTAACAACTGAAATGATTATTATCATTCATCGATGTTTATTGCATCTGGTACTTAGAAAGTAAAGTTTATTTATCAATTATGATCAACGTAGAACTCATAGTTAAACTGTTTAAATGGCTTCATTAATTTTTATTTTACTCACCTAAGAGTTGTTGTCTAGTATTTAAAAATATTTGATTGTCATGAATTCGAACGATACAATCGTCTTAAGAGTTTATGATTACTTTAAGTTCTGACATAATAGGTTATAACCATCTTGAAAAATCACCCGTACCTAATTACTAAATAATAACATTAGCGTAACTATCAATTTGACTCAGTGCTTTATATATTTTATCAAATCAATTGTAGTGTTATTACTAATTTATACTTTTTGGCTCAGTTATGATTGTACACCAGTTATAAACAAATCGAATATTAGAGTAGTGATATAACAAAAAAAAATCAATTACCTTTACTTAAATGAGTTCCTTTTGAATTCTGTATTTTAGACAATGAAGGATCAGAAGAAGTACTGATATTGTGTCTATTCTAATTATGTTATTATTTGTTTGTTTTACTGTAGTCATCACCTTATACAAGTCATTTGGTCATTCGTTATAACTCTTTAGGAAGACATTTTATCCAGTCATAAGTAGAGCTATTGTACTCTTTCGATTCTGGGCTTCGTTATTGTTGAGAAGAACACTATTAGTAAAAGCATATACGACACTTGAAATATTTCAGTGGGAAAAATTATTTCTGTTAAACAGCACATAGTATTATTCATTTCTGTGTTTGATTTGAAATTGTTTTTCTACTCACAACTGTGTTCTTTTTTAAATTCGTGAAGGCTAACAATTTGAAAATTAAGCAGATTACCGAAGAACATCTCTTTGAAATGATAGAAAAGTCCAGTAATGTTCCTCTTGTAAATCATAAATCGAATGTATCCAGCTCAGAATCTTCCAAGAAATTGGAGCCTGTAGATGCAAACGATAGTAAACAAAATTTAAAAAGTCCTAAAAAATCCCCTAAGAAGAATCAATCTACCAAATCACCGGATAATGCTCCTAAATCTCCGAATAAATGTGCAGGAAAATCTGTTATGTCCTCATGTAGTGAACTTCCTCTTACTGCACGTCCTGTTTTAACTAATAATTCAACATTCAATAATAAAACTGATCGAAGTCATAGCAGTGGTTTATCCAAAACTCCTACTGTCATCGATAAGCAAGATTCCCTATCCAAGGAGATGAGTTCGAAGTTGTCTGAATTATGGGTTGATAAGTATAAACCAACGTCTATTCGCTCACTGATTGGTCAAAACGGTGCACAAAGTCCAGCCAATCGACTTTTAAATTGGCTATCTTCCTGGCACTCGAGTTTTTCAGCAGGTTTGTGGTGTATCAGTTATCTTATAACCTTTATAGTTATTAATTCTCCTTCAAACAGAAGTAATTCGATCATTAATGTAATGAATATCATTTCTCAATGTTATTTTACGTTACCTGGTGTTGCAAAACGAAAGTTGTAACATTAGGTCTGTAGATCCTTTTTTCCAAACTCTAACTTTATCTTTCTGTGTTCATGAAACGCGAAATATCAAGTGACATATATGCTGCTCGTTACGAACTTTATATTTTCATACTAGATTCATTAGCTGTTTTATTTCAAGCTTATAGCCTTTTAGTACTATTCGTATTGTCTGATGATTTGAAACTCGTTTGGTGTACTTGTGAAGCAGATTGCAGTCATTTTTGTATCGTTAAGTAGAACCTTTTTTAGTTATCTGTCATTGTGAAAATTCCATGAAATAATGTGTTTCTGCCATTCCGATGAAATATCGGTTATGTTATTCTATGACGTGGTAAAACTGGGAACCAACTGTTCTTATATTTGACCTTAGTTTTAAAATTTTGTATGCTTGTCACTTTTCAGGTTTAAAAGCGAAGGCTTACTCAAGTGCCCCTCCATGGGGCCCGTCATCTAGTGATGATGGGAAGTGGGCTCGCGCAGCACTTCTTTCGGGACCTCCAGGGATTGGCAAAACATCAACCGCTATTTTAGTATGCAAAGAACTCGGCTATACTTATTGCGAATTTAATGCATCCGATTGTCGATCCAAGCGGTGTTTAAGTGAAGAAATAGGACAGTCTTTGGGTTTACGAAATTTGTCACATATGGCGTTTGGTCAAGGTATGTGTATGATGATTTTCTCCTATTTCATTTACCAGCATTTAGCGGTGATAGTTTATAAAAATCTTAGCATTCCTAAATGTTTATGTATACAGTGTTTGTATTCAAAATCATAGTAAGCGGAATGTGTTCGAGTATGTGTTTCCATGACTAAGATCTAAATACTAATGATTTACTTACCTACTTACATCTGTTACCGTTCGTGGAGGGACATAGGCCGCCCACCAGGATTTTCCATCGAATCTTTTCTAGTTGTCTACAGTTGCTATTCATTCTTTTCATGTATGCTTCTAAGTTCTTTGGCCTCCCTCTTTTCCGTTTTCTTTCAGAATTCCAAGTTAGCGCTTGTCTAGTGATGCAGTTTGGTGATTTCCTCAGTGTACGTCCTATCCACTTTCAATTTCTTTTCCTAATTTCCTCCTTCAGCTGGAACCTGGTTTGTTATCTCCCCGATAGGCTGTTGCTGATGGTATCCGGCCAACGGACGATGAATATCTTGCGTGGACAATTGTTTATAAATACTTTTACTTTTTTGATGATGGTTATGGTAGTTTTCCAAGTTTCAGTTCCGTACAGTAAAACTATCTTGACATCCGTATTGATGATTCTGAACTTGATACTGGCTAACAATTGTTTTGAGTCCCATATGTCCTTCAATTATAGGAATCCTGCTCTTGCTTTGCCTATCCTTGCCTTTGCGTCTGTATCCGATCCTCCTTGTTCATAGATGGTGCTTTCCAGATACGTAAAAGTTTCGACCTCTTCCAGAGATTCTCCATCAATTATGATTGGGTTGGTGTTCTCTGTGTTGTATTTGAGGATTTTGCTCTTTCCCTTGTTTATGTTGAGGCTGCTACTACACTGGCTGTCTCGACCTGCATTTGTCCGTGTGTATAGGATAGAAGTGCCAGGTCATCTGCAAAGTCCAAATCGTCTAGTTGCATGCAAACTGTTCATTGTATTCCGTGCTTTCTCAAGATGTGAGGGTGTTCATGATCCAGTCAACCACTAGAAGAAAGAGTAAGGGGGAGAGTAGGCAAACTTGTTTGACTCCAGTACTCACTTGGAATGCATCTGTCAGCTGTCCTCCATGCACGACTTGGTAGTTTAGTTCATCGTGTCAACTCTGGATGATGCTGACGATTTTCACACCATAGTGTCGACGAAGTTTCCATGAGGTTCTCCTTTTCACTCTGTCAAATACTTTCTCATAGTCAAGGAAGTTGATGTGTACTGATGGGTTCCATCCCACTGATTGTTCAACAATGATCCATAGTGACGCAGTTTGGTTTGTTCACGACTGATCGTAACAGAATCCTGTTGGCCTGTTGATCTCGGAGTTGGGTGTCTACTGATACTTTCATTCAGTTCAACAACCCTCTGTTAAAAACGTTTACTGTTACCGCTATTGGTGTGATTCCTCTGTAGTTCCCACATTTGTTCAGATCTACTTTCTTTGTTATATTGATGAGGTATCCTTATTTCCAGTATGTTGGCACTTGTTCTTTCTCCCAAATCTTCCCGAATAAAATGTGGAGCGTGTTTGCAGTTATTTCTGTGTCTGACTTTAGTGGTTCGAATGATATATTATCAGGTCTGTCTGCTTTCACACTCTTGATTTATTTGATGGTCATTCTGACTTGTTTGATCGTTGGTGGAGTGACACGTATAGGAATGTCTGTGGATGGTGCTTCGATGTCCGGTGGATTTAATGGAGCAGGTCTATTCAAGAGTTCCTCGAATTATTCCACCTATCTGTTGCTCAGTTCTTGAATCTCGGTGATTGTCTTTCATTTTTTATGCTTGACCGGTCTCTCTGGTTCCCTGTATTTCCCAGACAGTTTATTCGTTGTGTCATATGGTTGTTACACATTTCCTTCTCTTAGAGCTTTTTCCGCAGTCGTTGTTAAGTCTTCCACGTATTCCTGCTTGTCGGCTCTAATGCTTCTCTTCACTCGCTTGTTTGCTTTGGTGTATTCAGCCTGTGCGTCGACTTTCTCTGTTCTTGTTCGACTGTTTTTGATTGCTGTCTTCTTGTTCTTCCTTTACCGAATCTAGTCAAGTAATTCGATAGGGATCCATTCCTTGTGGTGATAATTCTTGCGTCCCAGGATCTCCTGACGCATTGAAGTTAGTGCTTCTTTGATTCCCTCCCAGTTGTCCTACATAGTAGTGTTTTGTTCTTTCAATAGATCTTGTAATGCTTGGGATCTGTTATTGAGAGTTATCTTAAGATCGTTGAGTTTGTCAGTATGTCGAAGGAAGGCTGTGTTGAACCCTTGTAATGCTGTTTTTCAGTTGTCTAGCGCTTTTTTACATTCAGTTTTATCTTGACAGCCACCAGTTGGTGGTGGTCGGAAGTTAGCTATGTCAGCTCCTCTCCTGGTTTTCACGTTTTCCATTGACCTTGCGAATTTTTCAGTGGTGCAAATGTGGCCGGTCTGATTCTCTGTAGTGAGATCTTGTGAGACACATGTAGCTTTGTGTATGTGTTTGTGTGGTAATATTGTGCCGTATATAACCGTTTTTGCTGAATGCAAATAAGTTTGTAAATCTCTCACCATTCTCGTTCTTTTCTCCCGGTCAGTTCATACCATCCCATGATATCTTGATATCCGGTGTTGTCCATCCCAACCCTGCGTCTAGTAAAACTGGTCTTTATCGTCTTCATTGTTATCACTAATGGGTGCATAACAATGGATAACATTGATTGTGATTCCCTCCTTTATTTTGAATGATGATTTGATAATTGTGGATCCTTGGGATTCCTATCCTTTATTGATTTATTTGAACACATAAATATTGGTACATATGGGCATTGAATACATATGTGCCCCACAAGTCACCTGGTTTGTGTGTAGGTTGTGGTACTGCCCCTGTGCTTAGGTGGTTTCCATAGAGGGTCACACCTGAATCCTTTGACCTAAGGGTCTGATCCACAAGGCTGTGGAGCAACGTAAGGAGATGCAATCCCATGGTAGTCCGCGACCAACAATAGGTTCATACGCGATTTGTTTCCTCAGGGCCCTGAAAGCTATGTTCACCATTTGTTCGAAAATCAGTTTTTCAACTCCTATAAGTGAATGGTTTTTATCCACCAACCTGGTTTCAGCGCCGAACATTTGCTTTACGTCCGCTCAATTTCGTAAACAACACACCTGCGACGAGAACGCAGTGAGTAGAGCTTGCCTGGCAGTGGCTATATATGCGTAGCCATATGACAGCATTTCGAGAGGAAGAGCAAACTCTCCCCACTATCTCCTGTTTCTTTGTTTAAATAAATAACCAAATGAAACAATCTAAATTTAGGGCTTTCAGATCTCATAGTAAACATGAAACACTTCTACTTTCTTATCATCAGAGATCAATGACTTGTAATTTGATGGTATGGACTAAATATATTTTTTTCATAGCATCAACATTAAATTCTGGTCGTCACGTTTTAATTATGGACGAAGTAGATGGTATGGCTGGTAATGAAGATCGCGGAGGAATGCAAGAACTTATTAACATGATTAAAATTACTCAATTACCTATTATTTGTATGTGCAATGATCGTCAGGCTATAAAAGTCAGTAATTTGTTTTGTTTTCATTTTCTTTTATGTGTGAAATAAAATGAAATGCTCTATACATGTAAATGTGAACAAATATTGTTTACTAACAGCTGAGAAAGTTATAAAAAAGGTCACGATCCAACTGTAAATTTAGCGCTTCAATAATAATATTAGAGTATTTTGTCTTATTGTTCATTTTGTTCAAAAGCGGGATTAATACTTAACTTGTATCGATTGTTAACATGTATCTTTAAATGATCTCGGGGAGATTTTCACATTTGACTTTCCTCCCAGCATTTTCAGCTCTGAAGGTATCTTTAACATATTTTTGAAGTTTTTAGCACACTACATGATTGAAAATGCGCATATACAAGTTTTTGCTTGATTAAGGTTTGTTAGCTATAAAAATTAAAACTTTTCAATAGCTTCGGTATTTCTTTGTCGAAGCTCTAAAATTTTTATTTTCCAAGTTAGATTCCCCCCCGCACACACACACTTAATTCCCTCTGTTACAACTCATTTACCATATTTCAAACCTATATCATACCAACAACTTCCAAACTCCATATCGTAACATGATTGGATAATCTTTTTATACACGATTGTTTTTGCGGCCTATTTAGTTTTTATAATTTTGATTTTTAATTTCTCCCTTGGAGATGCTCTAACTAGACTGGTGAGCGAAAACCTAGAGTTATCTCTTATGATTTCAATTACTGAGATTTTTACAAATATTTATTTACGTTTTTTGAAGCGTCACCTATATACTCGGTGTCCAAATATGTTGTGAAACTAATCATTAGTTCAAATTTAGACTTAAGTTATTATCAAATTTACTTCTTGTTGTTTAAAATTATTGATAAGCCTATCTAAGCGTCTGACCACATGACAGAATTATGCACAAATAATCTGAATTCGGAAACTAAGATTTTGTCCGAGAAGCGGTCCGATTATTCACAGAAATATATCCAAATAAGCTACAAGCCTCTGGGGCGTTTGATTGATCGATGTAGATAAAATGGTAAATGGTTCTTGAAATAATTACCGAAAGTATATTAACCACATATGATAGCATAAATTACTGTTATTAACTGTGTCTAAATTCAACAACGACAACAGTAATGGAAAGGGCAACTGGGCACTCACAATTTGAAGACTGTTACACTTAAAAAAGATTCAGTGATTCCAAAAAAACTAAAAATAACAGTCCAAAGTGTTTATAAGTCACGTCTATGGTTGAGTTCGCTGAATATTACAAATTTATGTAAGTACTGAGAAGTTATAGAGAACACTATATGTTATATACCCAAAATGATTAAAAGTGGAATTAACTACTGAATATTATTAAGTAGTATAACTATTACACCAGATTATCTGATGATAGGAATGAGGGTATGTTGAGTAAGCTGAATTAACAGTTATAATTTTAAGGAAATTTTCCAGACAAGCTTATTAAATAATAGCAGTTAGTATTATTTTTATGTTTACTCTTACATTCTGCTATTTTTTCATTAGATACGCTCTCTGGCTAATTATTGTCTCGATTTAAGATTTCATCGTCCACGAGTTGAACAAATAAAGTCAGCAGTATTGTCTATTGCTTGCAAAGAAAATGTGAATTTACCTCCGGATGTATTAACAAATATTATCGATTCTAGTAATCATGATATTAGACAGGTAAAATATACAAATAAGCTTTTATCATTTTACCAAGTTGTGTTATTTTGTTTAGAAATCCTTTAAGCTATTTCTTCCTTTTTTGGATTATCGCCTTATTTTTTATGTTATGAACTTAAACGATCTGTACATAATTTGTTGTCGATAAGAAGCCTTATTAAGATTAGGAGCTAATGGTTTATTGGGTGAAGCACTTGACATCTAAACACTAGTTCATAGGTTAAGAACCTGCTTCATCTACCTCAATTCAGGTAATTAAATAGTACTTCACCAACAACCCTTACACGTAAAATGGGGTTTGAAGCCAAGTACTTGGATCTATTCTTTGTAAATGTTTCATTTTTTGTTGCATTAGAATAAGTGGGAAACAAATTGTAGTTCAAATGAGTCTGAAGTCTTTACAACTTGTTGTCCATAAGAGACATATTCTAGTAGGTTTTATTTAGATACAAGGATCTCTTCTTCAAAATGAGATGAAACAGTTATGTGTACAAAGTGGATTATGACCAAGTTATTGTAACACATTTTATAATAATGTCATCCTGCAACATTTTACTAACCTTATTAGAAAGATGAGTGATGAATATATAATAAATCAATTGTATCAAAATTATCCACAATAATAACTGTATACGGAAGTTTAACCAGTGCAACTACAAAGTTGTATTTATTTTTTCTACGAACTTAAACATATCCACTTAAGCACTTTACATCAAGTTAGTTATTCGTTCTAAACATCTATTTGGCAAGATGTATTTTCTAAAAGTGTGAACAATTTTATGATGTGCTTCACTATGTCCGAGTTATTCAATGCATGCAATTTTTGTAGTATTCAGTAAATGAATATTTCTAGCTTTGTCAAGAGCTTGAATTCATCGCGTGTTGAAAGTGTTTATGTTAAATTTCACCTACATTTTTGGGAATAATCTTTTATAAATTAGAATTTTGGTCATAGCATTGTTTACACAAGCATATATAGCTTACTCAGTAAATTTATCCGCAACATTTCAATGTTCGGTAACTGTATGTTGTATCCACAGCACTTTCGTTCATTTCTCCTCTCGATTAGCGGGTTTGTGCTACATATTGCTATGCGATTTCGATCTAGAAATTTCATTTCAAATTCCGACTTTCACAACGTTTTTATTTTTCATCCGACCTATTGTGCTGCACGACAAAAAAGTGTTCATTGCAGATTGCTACGTTTGAAGAAATAACGATATCACCTAAAATCTGCGAACGGAACAAAAGTCAGCAACACAACGATAGAATAAGCTAAGCTATTCTATTTCGTCTTATCCCTGATAACAAGAGGGAGAAAACCAGATCTAACCGACAGAAATATATATATATATATATATTCCAAAAGCAGCCAGAAGCACGAACAAAACAAGCGCACAACTCATGCGTATATATACAGTACAAGACTATCCTTGGAAAATGTCACAAAATAGCGTACTGAAGGAGAAATCGAACCAATGGTATTTAAGGTCCTTCCAAGTAGGAATTACAAACTTAAGGTAAAAATGGATGCTTTTGGCGCGAAAATAGTAAATCCTAATTCGCATAATAAAATCACAAAAATGAAACATTTACCAAGTGATTTCTATGGATCTAGCATCTCCAACATAGTCAGAGATAACTTCAAACTCTTGAACAGAAATATTTGGTGGAAATTAAGCTGTAATGTGAAGCACTGACACATTTAATCAACGGAAAACTGTGCGTACAAGCTATATATGACGTACTTATTGGACAATAAGAATGTTGCTGATAACCTAAGCTTTTTTAATCACAATTTTACTTTCAGTGTTAATCCTAAACGTATTTTGTTTTTAGCAACAATGATAACAATAGATAATTAAAAAGACAACCATGTATACTTTGTAATTTTAGGTAATTAATAATGTTCAAATGTGGTGTAGCTCTGGTTTAATTGATTCCGAAGGATTAAAAGCGGATGCATTAGGTGCACGTAAAGATCTACACCTAAATGCATTTGATGTGATTCGTAAAGTTTTTGCACCGGATATTTCTGGTTCTCAAGGCAGTGTTGCTACATTCAATGAAAGTTTAGATTTATTTTTTCAAGACTACAATTTAATTCCTTTGTTTGTTGAGGAAAATTATCTTAATGTTAGAGTTCATAATACCCAGTAAGTATTATTGTTACTATCGTTAATAATATTGTTTTTGTATACATATATGTCTTAAAAGTGTATTTATTTATTTATTTAAACACATAAGCATAGGTACAAGAAGGCACCAAATAAATATGCGCCACATAAACCATTCGATTTATGTGAGGGCTGATAAATAACTCACAATGCCAATAACTAAATCTCAAAGAAATAGGTTTTAGAAAGAGAATCGCTAGCCGATTGACTGATTACATTCAAATGATTAAGAATATTTTGCAATTCAGGTTGATGCTTTTCGTAGTATTTTGTTATCAGAGCTAGATAATTTAATTGAAAAGTTTTCATTGTCGTTTTAGAAAAAATCATTAGCGTCTACTTCATCCAGAAGTAGGCTTTTCATTTTTCTCTCAAAGCCTAAGTCAGTTCTTTCGGATGCTGTAATTTTTAAATGATTATATTCATAGGTTTCTCTATTGTCGCTTGTTTGTTCAGTCCTGTTGAGTGTCTTCTTCAGTTGACTGTCATTCATATTTTTAATTAGCTCCTTCCATATGGTCGATAGACGGGACATATGCCTACTTATCTATTGATTGCCATTTGATTTGAATGTGTTGCCTATAGAAATTCTCTGTCGTTCCTAGAATTCCCATTATCCAGAGTTGTGACATTTTCTGGGTCGGATTCATTTTGATAGTTGTTAAAGTGGATTAATATCAATCCTATCTCATGTTACCTCACTGTCAATTTATTGCCATGTATACATAAATAAAGGGGCTCCTTATTTTGCCTGATTTAATGTTTCACCTGTGCAGTTTATTTTGTAGGTGATATTGGATCTGTCTTTCATTGTCGTGTCTTTAGGTCTGCATAATAAGTTATTGAGTTTTAGCGTTGGTCCGTTGGTGAAATCGATTCTAAAGGGTTCCGCGATCATTGTAGTAGTTTCTGAGATATTTCTCATACGCCATGGATGATAATTTTTGCTATCGATAAGACAACTGTATTCCAAACGCGTCCTACAACCTCAACTACTTTTACACATCAACTGGAGTACTAAAGAGACAGCGTGAAATGTGAGTCATAGCTTTACTCCAAGGCTAGTTTTTGTACAGAAAAATCGAGCGTATTTACCGAGTTACACACGACCCTGGGTTTCTGGCAATTTCTGGAGTTATACTAAATCTAGTTGCAATATAGTTACATATCGTGTTATAACCGTGGCACGTAATTCTGCATTTTCCAGATGTTTCCGAGAAACCTCCATCCAACCCTGGCTGAGTCAATATTGCTTGGCGTTTCTAAGCCCCTAAAAACTTTGACGAGGGGTACTTTGGGGACTCCCCCAACGACTGTATAATTTATTTCTTGGTTTCCAGGGTTGACATTTTAATGGTACGTCTATTCACCAAACACTTTGATAAAAGTGCCAGGAGAGTTATTCTTACGGAAAACAGACAACAGATGATTCCTTTCAATTTTTCGAATCGTGAGTGCTGTTTGGATTTTCATACATGGCGTCTGTTCACAACTATTGTACCGTTACTGTTGTATTTTTTCATACTCGGAGACTTCTACACTAACATTTCTAAAGTTCCTTTGTTTGCCCTGTCAAAACATTCATGGACGAGGTTTTGTTTTCTGGTTCTTTTTTTCTGGTAGTTTTTATATCACCGAGGAAGTTGTTCCATCAGTATATGCATATTTTCGATTTTGTGAAATAATACCGTTATGTAGATGGATATTCAACTAAATTAGTATGACTGTCAGTTATTCGTTAGTTAACGAGTGAGTAGACAAGAATATAATTAACTGCCACGAATTAATCAATAAGTCTTCACTTAAAACAATTTTAACACTATCCATCCCATTGTATATTATAATATTAGTTTCAATCAGTTATCTGTTACGAATCAAGTTTTTGTAGCTACTGCAATAGTAATTGTACGCAAAAAGTCAATTTATCTAACCATAATTCAACTGGTTCTTTTTGATACCTCAGCGTTTTGTCTCTCTTACTAAAATCGACAGAGGCTCTGTATTCTCTGTAGTTTTGAGCGGAAGAGTCATCAGTGAAACATTATTTTTAAGATTCAAGCAGTTTATTTGATGCTTCTCGATTTTAGAAATTACCATTCTTAATTATTCAAGGAGATTAGTGTTCCACATTCTGCTCTAATCGATACAAATACACTGATAGCGAAGAACTAAAAAGCTTGGGTAGCTGTTGTAACATCTTACCAATATGAATTGTGACATTGTTATTTTGAGGCGTATCGTCAGTGTTAAATGTATGAGTGTAGCCTTTAGCAGTTTGGACGTTTAGGTAGCACCACTAGCCCTCACATTTATAGTATCCTTCAAAAACAACTGTACGTAGTGAGTTACATTAAAGTAATAGACACATAAAATATTATTTTATAAATTATTTACGTTCGCTGTATATATTGTAAGAAAGTAAGGTATGGTTTGTGACTCGCACATTTTCGTACTGTTTATATTTGTAATAATAGTGTCCATCGGTTCGTTCGTATGTAATTGGTTAACTTTGTTTTAGTGACGATAAAAAAATTTTGCAATTAATGTCTCAAGCAGCGTCTGACATCGCCACGGCAGATATCATTTCATCTACTATCAGATCATCACGTACGGGATCATGGTCTTTATTACCTGTTCAAGGTGTGTTCAGTACAGTTTCACCTGGTCGTACTCTTCGTGGCTCTTTACCTGGTGGCCCAGGTGGTGTTTCATTTCCTTCTTGGTTTGGTAAGAACAGTACACAAAGCCGTATCAATCGGACTACTTCGGAATTAGCTGCACATTTACGATTAGCAACTCATTGTGGTTCATCAAATCCGCTTACATTATTGCTAGATTATGCTACACCAATCTCTGAACTTATCACTCGTCCACTTAAAGAAGGTAACATTCCTACAATTTTTTTAGTATTTGAAATGTTTTGGAAAGGAAATCGGTCCAATAATAAGTGCGCGTGATTTTCAAAGAAATAACTCCCATTTCTAAACAATTGGAGAGATATTTAAATTTTTTAGGAAATATATATAGCACTAAAAAGCTGTGTATTTCTAAATTCTATAGAAAAGCTAACACATTTCAGTAAAATGTTAAGGTTTCAAAAATCATTATGAAGGCTATGATCATTTACTGTCTAATGTACACCGGGGAAAAGTTTTCTGTTTGATAGATCTTCAAACAAAAGTTGAGGAGTTTGAGTAATTGTGTGGAAGTTCAACCCGCCTATCTGTGTTTTATCATCTAAACAGCTAGCGATAAATTCACAAACCTAATATTGCTGATATTTTTCTCATGATTCATAGGTTGCTCAAAACTTGTACTTTCCCAAATTTTCAGTTCAACGAATACCTCATGTTACTGTCCAAACTAAATTATAAAAACACAGTATATTGCCATTTTATAAAGCTCAATGGGATATAAGCAAAATTAATTAGCCTGTTGATAATTAACGAACTTTTATGCGTCATCAACGCAAGCTTTGGAGATAATAGGTTAGTTGGTGAAGCGATGGATCAGTTTTTAAGGGTTTTAGCTTTCAGCCAATAAGTTTGAGGGTCAAATCCCTATCCACGTACTTTCGTTTGAGTAAATGGACAGTGTCATTAGCTTTAATGCTTAAAATGTGGTTTTAAGCTAAGTATACGAATCTGTACACCTGATAATTCAGTTGATAAAAATACTGGTAAAATTAGCTAAAAGAGAGCTTACAATGTGAACCATGTAAAAAGTTAACCAATAACATCAAATCATTTACCGGGCGCTTAAGTGTGAGCCCGAATTGAAGCGAATCGGGATTCGAACCTGAGAACAAGTGGCCGAAAATCGAGTGCCCCAACCAATAAGATACCTCATTGCGTTGAGTGATTAACATAATCTTCGTCCTCATTTTACATTTTAATCTAGTCTTTTTGTTTACATTTTCTTTTATATAAGACTTGTAATAGTTTTCGAAATTTTCTCATTTAAATCATCATGTGTTTTCTTCTTCTTATTATTATTATTAAAGAAAATACTTGTGTATTTATTTCAACAACTGTTTGTTTAATTGTTTATATTTAAGGTGATATTGACAGTGCTATTCAATTTCTAATTAATTATCAAATAACAAGAGAAGATGTTGATTCTATAATGGAATTAACTACTTGGCCGAATCGACCGAATCGAATGCTTAGTGTTGATTCGAAAGTAAGTTATCAGCATACATATTGACAATCTTTTTTCATGATGTTACCCCCTTTTAAATAGCTTTAACATCAATACCATATCAGTTTCTGTCTTATAAATTAGAAGACAGTACATGTGTAAGTGAACAGTTTTGTTTCTATAAATAAATAATATATTTGTAATATTCCAATGAGTAGAAAAATTAGATTTTCTGACGTTTCGTGACTTAGTGCAAGTCACTTCTTCAGAGAATAAATAACCAAATTGAAATTAATCTAAGTTTATATATATAATACTACACTAATCAAGATGATTTATTAGATTTTAGTATTAATGCAATATGATTATTGTTATGTCCTTATGCCCAGGTTAATATATCACGTGATACGATCGCCAATTAGAACACCGACTTACTGACCAGACCAATAATGCATAAACCATTACGAGCAGTCCGGTGTGAATTCTGAGTTCTTATTGATCCACTAAGATAGTAGCTCCTCGTTTAACCCATCTAATTTAGTACAAAACACCAATATCAGTCTCCGTTATACTGATCATATATTTCAGACACAAAGGGTTTATGCACAAACAAACTAAATCTCATCGTATCATAAAACAGAAAATAACAGTTATACAAGATCAAACCAAAAAGTGGCTGTAAATGTGATAGACTGCTACTAATAAATTAGAAATATCTTAAGAATAGTAACTCGTATAATAGTAGTCAATAGATCATATAAAAGCTCGTAATAAATGGAATATGAATATACATATAATATAGTTACTTAAGTTATACAATAAGAATATGTATAATAATAATAATAATAATAATAATAATAATAATAATAATAATCCATAAATAGATCCTAGCGGTTACTATTCACCTTCTTTATCCGGATATAACAATTATACCTAAGAAATTTTAATGTTAATCGTACGGATTGTGATTCTAAGGTGACAGGTATATACTAGTATGTATAAGAATAATAAATGACATGAGCATATATATTGATGTAGCAAATAGGTTAGAACTTCGAAAGATGAACTCATTAAAATAATAATTATTAAAAATCAGATGATAAACGAGTGCTGTGTGTAAATAATCAGTTTAAATAATATATATCTAGTAAAGACAAGGTACAAAAAGAATGTCGATAAATAAAGGGTGATAACAACTGATAAAATTGTTTACCAATTCCTATTCGACCAATGAAAAGAAAGTTTAGGGTTTTCTTTTAAATTCAGAAAGGGGTTTTTTGGATATTATCGTAATTTTTTAATAGTTGAGATCATGAGTCAATTGGAGCTAGACCACCATGAAAAACTTGGGAGCACTGGACGGCCGTTTCGTTCTATTTTGGGACTGCTCAGCAGTGCGCACTCACGATCCTGCCTCGCGAGATTCTAACCCGGGACCTATCAGTCTCGCGCGCGAACACTTAACCTCTACACCACTGAGCTGGCATCCAACGGTGTTAATATCTAACTTCAACTAATTCATGAGATTGAGTCTCTGTAGTTTTTGGTGTATATAAGAGATGACAGGATATTATTGTTCGTTTATGTGTTGATTTATTAATAATACTTTGAACTTGAATAATTGTGGATCTAATAATCTGTTGTTTGACTAAATTCTCTATAGCACCGCCTTGGTTAAAAAAGGCATGAACGTTATAATCAGATCTCATAAATAATCTTATAGTGTAATTTATGGCAAACGGATGTTTTCTGTAATGATTTCTAGTTATCCGACTAAATACCATATTTATTGTAGATTAATGCGAGCAAAGAAATGAATCATATAAAACTTCCTTGTTTTTAAGAGTTAATATGAAATGAAATATGACATTCACTAGGGATTATTCAAGCTTCAAAATAGGCGATGTTCATATACACCTGTTTTGAATCGTTGATTTTTTTATCATTAAGCCCAGAAGAAATTAATATGATCAACTTAAGTAGGGCTGTCTTTATTTTAATAGTCATCAATGTGCTAATGAAAACGCTGCTAGAAGAGCCTTACAAATATCCTCCGTCAAAGTCTTTAGGAGCCCAGAAACACTAGGTACCACTGATCCAATCAGCGTTGAATGGAAGCTTCTTGGAAACATTTAGAAAATGTAGAATTACGTGCCACGGTCCTAATTGGATATTAAACTATACTGCTGCTAGATTTAGTATGGCTTTCGAAATTTCCAGAAACCCAAGGTCGTGTATATCTACAAATACTATCGTTTCCCTGTCAATAAACTTAACCGTAGAGTAAAAAGTTCTTTCTGCACGTCGTGCTTTTTCTCTCGTGTTTAAATTCCCGCGAAAAATTAAACTTAGGGGTTACTGGTAGCGGATGCGAAATCGCACTGATTGTTCATTGGGCAGAATTACCACACACATGTATAGGTTTTAATGTATCATATATACGCAACAGTTCACTAACTCCTTGTTTTGTTAAGGTTGTATCAATCGTTAATAGAAACAAATTTTTGTGTAGACTTTTTACTCCACCTTTTTTTACTTGAAGAATGAGATACATTGAAATTCAACGTAAATGTTTACTTTAATTATGTTTTTATGTTTTTTTTTATCTGCTCGCTTTATGTACAACTTTAAAAGTTTATTTTGACAGCATTGATTTGGTGAATAGAAGTGAAACTGTTGTTGCTCGCATTGTTATTGTATTTTTCACTGGTTTAATTAATCATGTTACTTCTGGTATTCAATACATAGGGATATAGTTCTTTATGAATCCCAGTCTTAGTTAAGTAGAATACCTTCACTTGTTTTTCTTAGTGTTTCTATCTTCTGAAATCTTTTTCTATCAAGATCAATATGATGGATTTAATGAATAGATGATCAATTTGATTATATTAATTTGAAATAATCAGTTTGTTTGCTAAATGTGGTTAATATGATGAGATGTGTTTTTTTCAGAACAATACATTTCTAACAATTGTCTGATCAAAATTCAGTCATAAACATCAACAACATGATAATCCAAACTATTTCAGTTTCAATTAGAATCTATTCGTGTTTCATAAGCTTGTGAGGTATTCTAACTCGGTAGCTCAGTGGATAATGGATGGTATGTGTAAAACGGAAAGGTACTAGTTTCGAGTACTAGCGTGAATGTCTACATTGAGATGCAAGTATATACACGGATTAGTTCTGAATAAGATGAAATGCGTGTCTTGGATTTCATCACTGACCATATTCCCTCTTTTATGTAGGAACTTATTTGAGGTATTTTTACATGTAAAATGAAACGTAAAGTGAGGCAAATTAAAAGAAAAGACAAAGGAAATCTAGAAAATAATATAATAAATCACTATTAACAGGGTAAGTTTAAGGGGAGAACAAATTGTTCTTCAACACAGAGGGAGGGGCAATTAAATTGTCATGTATCTACGGCTTCAATCAAACAGTATTGTTCCTCTGTCCATATCTGTAGAATACCACAAAGATTTATTGAATACCAACCCTATGACAATTTATAACTAAATGTTTCGTAATTGAACATGTTTGACTATATATGGTATTTAGTCAAATGAATTTCACTGTCATATCACTTGCTTATTATATTATTTAGATAAATTAATTTCTTAACTTTCGTAAATCAACCTTCTGACTGTTATAGTTAGCTCATTTAAATAATTTATTATTAATGTACTCATGTATATCCTCTTTAAGGTCAAAGCTGCATTAACACGTACGTATAATAAATCATCGCATTTACTACCGTATGTCATCTCATCAAGTGGTTCCTTTAAACGTAAACGTGGTGGTGGTGCTCCAGTTTCATTTGAAGGGGAAATTGAAAATGATTCTGGTCTATTCGACGATGATGATGAAGAAGAAGAACAGGAAGACGAGAAAGTCGACCTGAAGAATGATGCCATGATTTTAGTATGTTGCAACGATTGTCCATATAAAAATTTATTGCATTTTGTAAAGAATAATATTATATTTTTGACTATGAGGTGAATATCTTCTACCAAGATGAGATCCATAGATATGTATGTTCATCTGCTCGTATATGTAAGGCTTTTAATTCTAAATTGAATAGTATACATCTGAATTCAAGATGTCAGTACTTTATATTATATTTGGATTGGCATTGCTAATTATTGAATAAAGGAAAACGCCTTAAACAGCATTAATAAATTACTTTTACCTTTGTATTGTTGCACTGTAGACATTTGTCTGTTTTGATTTGAACAATCTACATCATGCAACAATGTACACTGACATTTTCTGTTGTCTTCTGCTAACCGTCGTCATTTGTTTTTGTTGTGAGGAGCGGTGTCCAAAATCTGATACTGATAAGCGGTGTGTTACGCGCCGACTCCCCAACTGACTACTTGAGTGAAAACACAAGAAAGAGTGAGAAACTGTATTGAACTACTGAATAAAATGTACAAATACTTATTCATAAATATATATACCACTCTAATCCTTAGGAAATTGATCCATTATTTAGCCAATGAAATGCACTTGTCCTTTAGGCCACTTCTGGTTGCCATCGATTGACCTTCTCATAAGGCTACTTCTGATTGGCTCCCCATATGAGTATTTTTTGTTTTTCGTTGTTATCATACTTATATTTATCAGTTATCTATCCTTTGGTTTTCCTTCTATATCTAATATATATATATTTTTTCTAGATTAAAAAAGAAGATCCAAAAAAGCGCATAAACACTGAGAAATCCAAATTACGACGAGGAGAGCAATGTTCATCTTCTGATAGCAACAATACAAAAGAACGTGGTCGAGGTCGTGGTCGCGGTAGAGGTAGAGGTAGAGGGAAAGATTGAAACACATATACATACATTCATTCGCTTGTTATTATTCTTACGGTTTCGATAGCATTTCATCTCATCACTAAACGCTGTACAAAAGATAAACAAATCTATTTGTTTGTTTGTTTTTTTTATTGAAAATAAGAAATATGTATTTTTATCTTTACCCTGCCATTGTTTATATAATAGGTTCTATTTTTTTTCGTAACTTATTGGGTTAAACTGCATTGCTCTATTGTTAAACATCAGATTATAGATTCAATAAATGTAATTGTATTATTTTTTTGCTCTTATTTCTACTAAATTTTGCTTGCTTGTACTTGTATTTTGTTGCATGATACTACAAATGTCATATCTGATCTGGCAAAATAGTATCAGGTGAATGTGTTTATTTTTGCTGTCTGTTCATTTATAGTCTTATGAATTCTAAGTCCTTTTAGTTCAATCCAAATCCAACCATAAGATAGTCTGAACTATACTATACGCTTCTAATCAGTAACTTATCTAGACATGTAGTAAATTGATTACATGTCGATTTAGTTATCTGTTATTGGTAAGCTTTAATAACTATTGAGCTAATAAAAATTGGTGACCAATGTACACAATATCCGATCACTCATACAGTTCATTTGAATCTTCAAGCATTTAAATCCTTTTATTTGTAAATGTTTTAATCTTCACGTTGTTAATTTTAAGGACTATGATTGGTCAGTGTCTATTGGCATATGTACATTCTTAGCAGATTGTCTCGCTATTGCCGTTGAGTAACAAGTTTTTTTAAACAAAGTTAGATATTGGGTAGCAGTGGAATCCAAGACGCGCGTTTAATCACATTTGATACTCTTCCATTGTATGTACTTAGATCCTAGTGTGAATACTTACTCTGGGACTTCAATTCTTGTCTTTCACTTCAAACACCCAATAAGTTATCCACTTAGCTAGTGAGTTCTTCGGCCTTTATTAGATAATACTTGTAATCCCTCTTGTAAAGTGACTAGTTTACTAATCGAGATGATCATTTGTTTCCTTTGGGTTTTACCACTTGATAGCTTATTTAATTTCATTAATCTACTTTTTCGTTTTATGGCTCTACCACAATCAACAAAGCTGCTAAATGCTTCCTCGTTTGCAACGGTTATCTGACTAAAACTAATCCACAATGTAAACTGTGGTAGTCATATTTTTCAATACAATTCGTTCCTTATTATCGTATCAACTTACTCCATTATATTTGGGAATCTTTGTTGTTTCAGTCGAATGTTGTGTGTTTAGTGCCATTGATGCTTTTACTTTATTTCTAAAATGTACAGATCTATACTACACAGCTTTGTGTCACATTAACTGTATGGGAGATGTAGTATTAACTAGCCCCCCCCCTCGGGTAGAAATAGGCGTAATGGATTCATAACGGGTAACCTGTTGATCGAAAGCCGATAGCTCAAACTACTCAGCATCTACTATTGCACAAATGTATATGTTTATTGATTAAATCATATACAATATGTTGGAATCAATTTTCGTTAGTATAAAACAGAAAACTACTGGATTAGTATTTGTTTATTGTTTGATTTTGTGATCAAAATTCTTTAAGTTTAAGCTAAACGTATTGGTTCAATGACTAAAACATTCGATTATTGACTACTGGGTTATGGTTTTGAATCCCAATTCATTTACGGCACTTTAAACAGAAGAGGATTATTAATTGTTATTATCCCGAGAAATTGTAGCTCAAAATTGAGTTTCCAAATATTAACTTAGTCAATGAGTTGCTGCAAAATTTGTCAGAAATTAAAAAAAATCCTGTAACTATCGTTTTTTTGTCATGTACTTTTCACTGTTTAATAGTAAGCATCTAAAGCCATCTTCAATAGTTATAATGTAAAGGAACTGGCGTTAGTTGATAACACTTTTGATTGGAAATTAACCTGTTATTGATTATGAAATACCATGAGTTTGCATACACAATGACTATTAATTTATTATCTTTCACGTTGTATACTTTACTAAATCGAACTAGTTATTATATGATTTCATATTAGTATGAATATACATGATTACTCTACTTTATCATATGACTTCACACTGTAATCTTGCGTTATTACTGTCTTAATTTGACAAGTCATCTCATGTAAACATTAAATGTTCGAAAAAATATGTTGCTTTTGTTCGAATCTCTCGGGGGGGGGGCGAGATCGTGTATGCGCACTGCTGAGGAGTCCCACAATAGGACGAAACAGCCGTCCAGTGCCTCAAGGTTTTCCATGGTGGTCTAGCTTCAACTGACTCATGATTTCAACCATTGACATTTTAAGTGTTCATTATTTAGAAACTTACATATAGTTGATAATATAATATATTGCATGTTTAAGTAAATTAGACTGATCACGTTTTTATTTGCATAACTGGAACTCTATATTGATTGTTTAAAAAAGATGAATATATTGGTTTATTAGTTGTGTCATTGAAACAGAAATTAATCCTTTCAGTTTTGTACTTTTAGATTCTTCAAAGTGTTTATCGATTCAACAAGCTTCAAAAATTCCCTGCTTATCTATTTTCATTCTGTGTACAGTTGACTAAAAGTGAGATATTTCTTGTAATATACATTTGTATCATCGTTACGTACTTTTGTAGTACTTACCTTTATGAGTTAGCTTCAGTATTTAGAAAAAATGATACCAATGTAACTGATGATACGGATTATGCTTATTGAGCTACAATTTTCAACAATATAGTCTTCACATAATCACAATAGTAGCGTCAACACTAATTCCATTGTTTTCATATAAAGTAAATGTACATGGTAAATATGAGGTTAGAGAGTGAATTGGTGGATCAGTAGCTTAGTAGTTAATATATTTAGCTGTGAGTTAGCGGATTTGAAATTTAATTCATGTACTCCACCATTTCGGTTTGAGTAATCGGTTAATATCATTAGCTGTAATATAATATAATCCGATTTGGTGTTCAGTTTGTAAGTTACGATATTCGTTAATTTTTACTATACTGTGAGATGGTGAAGATATACTTAGGTGGGTGTTTTTGGTACGGTTTTATTCTCGGACCTTAGTTGTTTAGTTGTGAGATAATCTTTTCCTTCTAGGCAATATCATTAAGATTAAACGTTAGATAGAAGTAAACTATTCTGAGTTATTTTTCCACAAAGGGTGATAATGTCCTAAAAGGCAATGAAAACTTCACTACTCAGCTCAGAATATTAAACTCCACCAAAATTACTGTATCGTTAATAACTTTTAGAGAGCAAAAACAAAGATTGATGCAGAATAATATGAATTCATTTTATTTCGTTAGGTTCTCATCAGCTGCTTACAATCTAAAATATTTAAAATTCAACATTATTACAGATATTGACATATTTATACATAAGAGGGTGATTAAGGGTGAATAAATGTATCATGGTGTAGCGAAGATTCCGATAGAGTTAATGAGGCCATAAAATTTTTGTCTCGAATAAATAAAGTTTGAGAGGGAAAGTTTCGGAACATTGAAATAGTGATTAGAACTCATGAAAATAGATTAATGGTAATAAAGAAAATATAAATTGAAATTAGTCAGTTATGTATGATGTAATTTAAACTTCTGAAAGAGTTGAAATAATGACGCAATAAATAAATAGAAATAAATGAATAAAAAAGGGGGGTTATTGTTACCAGGGTAAAGAAAGATTTATTACTCTCTTTTTTTGTATACATAGGTCTGGTTTTAGACGTTTGATTGCTAATGCTTCAGCAACTTTCAGAAGGTTGGAGCTTGATTGTTTATTAATCACCTTGACGGACTTCAGTGTATCGACGCCGTGTCCTGTGTCAAGAAGATGTCTTGCGATGACACTGTTGAATGCTTTCAATTTATTTGATGTTAAACTTTTCGGAATATGTTCTTTGAATCGGACATAGGCTCTCCTTTCTGTCATTTTGGTCCTTTTTGAATAGTTCATTAACACGCTGTTAAATTTTGGTCTCTCATCATAACATTTTGTCATTGACTAACGCTAATGTTTTCTAAACTATAATATTTATGTTATTTATGACAATTCTTATCAATAATTTCCGAAAGTGTTTTTATTCTTTACCTTGACCTCCTTCTTACTCAGGACTGCCTCATTAGATTAAAATCTATTTCAGATGTCATATTACACGTTAACATGTATTTTAGTTATGACCATATTTGTAGTGTTATGTATGTGAAGGTGTTGTTAAATTAGATTATCATAAGTGGCATACTTTATTGTATTTCAGAAAGTTTAAAAGATTATATTAAATATTTATTTAGTGTTATTCCTTGGTAGTACACACTTCAATTTATAAAAGTTAATATAGAACATGATCAGTAACCTTTCTGTTCACTTTCTTGATTCATTTCTATATTTATCATGGTTATATTTTTAGAAATAATACTTTCTTTATCGATCTTTCCAAGGATTATTCTCTTACTACGAAACTCAATTATCAACTTGGAGTACCCAGATTATACTTTTCTGTTTTTAAATAAAAGAGACGCTAATAATAATCTAACTTCTCAGCTGTCCGTCTTCTTAATTATTTCTTGTTGCGTGAATGTAATATCACGACTTTGGTTGATGTACGTTAGTTTCAGCTCCTACGTTGTTTACGATTTGGAACAACTTAAAAGCAATCATTTTGTCATACTACGTAGTTGTTGACTTAAAGTACAATTCTTCATTTGATTGAAATCACGAATGGATTTGAGTTAGACAACCATTGAAAATCTAGAAGCAATGTGATGATTTAAGGTGTTATTCTTGTTGATATATCTTTCCAACGATAGATTATTAATATGATTTAAGTTGCTAAATGTCAATTATTGTTTGTTTGATTTAGATTAATAGCTGTTTACTTGCAATTGTTGTAACTGAGATGATGGAGAAGATTTGTGGCTCAGATGGATGATTTTGATGGAGTTTCGTTTTCTGAGCTGGACGGTTTGGTCGTTGAACCTTTCATCGTCCTTCTGGACGACATCATCAGCACAAATTTCAGATAGCAGTTAGATTAGGGCTGCGTGAGGAAATTATCAATATATATGTCGACTGAATAGTTGTATCAGGGATTGTCAAAAAAGGATTAGCAATAGCGAACCTAATTTGAGTAAAACGAATGAATTCCCACAATAAAAGGTATAAAATTAGTTTGAAATTTAGGATTTCAGGGTAGACAAATAGTGAATGCATCTACACTTTCCTATTTATTATACAATGAGAATACAGAAAGCAGGTGCATCCATCTGATCACTCCCAAACAGGACAAAACGCGCGTCCTCGATTCCACTGCTAGCCACCATCCATCTTTGCTTATAATAGAAAGATTACGTTGCGAATGTTACCAACTTTAAAAAATGCATTTCCTAATTTGAAATTTATGTACAGTTAAATAGGACTAATAATTTAGTTAAAACGTTGACTTTAGTACCACTGCAAACACTTGCTTAAAAGTACTATTTCGTAGTTAATATTACCATTCACTTGTTGATATGTATTGTAATTATTAAATTATCGAATAAATCATTCCAGCATTCATTCTCATGAAGTATTGAGAGCGGTAGTTTATAATTTTGCCTATACAACACAAAACCCACACCAACTACTTCACCTGATATCGTATATGCAAACATATGATTCTCTTGACAAAATCTACTCGTTTCCAAACTACTTATCAAAATACCATAAAATTGTGAATATTTTCGACAACATGAACCTATTATATAATCGGAATAGTAGCTATGTAGTTAAAACGTTCAACTTTTAGCCACTAAAACTCATACTTGATAAGTACCCTGCCATGTCGCATAACTGCCTCTCACACTTGTGGTGTGGCTCTAAACCAAGTACAAGAAAATGTCACTTAGTAAATCAGTCGACTTAAATATAATTGGGCTTTACTCAATCAATTCTTTTAGTCAATAATCATACTGTGTTGTTCTCGCCTTTCATGTAGCTAACAATATTTCGTTGTTATCAATGGTAGCTAATTCAAAACTGCGTATCGGTACTCATGATGGACGATTCCATGCAGATGAAATACTTGCATGTGCAATGCTTAAACATTTACCGGAATACTCAAATGCTGAAATTATACGCACAAGAGATTCAAGTATTTTGTCAACATGTGATATCGTCGTTGACGTTGGCGGTGTATTCAATGCTGAAAATCATCTATACGACCATCATCAAAGGTTAGCATAATAATTTGTTAAAATTAATTCAGCTTTTTTCCTCTTTTCTTTAAATCTTACTTTTTGTAGAGAATTCAACCTTACTTATAAAGATTTTTATCCGAATTCTGATTGGGATATAAAACTAAGTAGTGCAGGTTTGATATACGTTCATTTCGGTCGAAAAATACTAAGTTGTATACTTGGTATAGATGAAAATACTATGGATCCATTAGTGACGGCACTTTTTGATAAGGTAGGTTTTGTACATTAAGAAATTGATTATTTCTGGATGCAATTTTCTTCCTTCAGAATTTGACAAAACATTTTCTCCCTTTATTTATGTTATTATAGATGTATAGTTCATTTATTGTTGAGATAGACGCTATCGATAATGGTGTTCCGATGGCAATAACACCTTTAAGGTTGTTTGAATTTTCAAATTGATATTTAATCATTTTGAATTCTAGATATTCTATGAATACATCTTTAAGTAGTCGAGTGAATCGTATGAATCCAGCTTGGAATCAATTGGATACAGATGAAACTGTAAGTTGATGTACATGTCTATTTTTCTAAGATTACAAATGAAAGTCTACAGTATAATAATTCCAGTCTCAGAATGAACATCAACTCTGGGATGCAGACACACCTAACTGACTAGTTTCATATGGGAAGAAGTGTGTGTCCTAGAGGTCTAATCCACAAGGCAGTGGAGCAACGTAAGGAGATGTAGTCCCATTGTAGTCGATGACCAACAACAGGTTCACACGCCATTTGTTTCCTCAGGATCCTAGAGCCCATATGCACCACTGGTTGGGAATGATGGTTTTCAAGCTCCCTTAGGTAGATCCTCCATATCCACTAACCTGGTTAAGGCATCGGACATTCGCTTTTCATTTTCTCAATTTCGTAAACAATAGTAATGCCGCGAGAAGGCAATGAGTAGGACTTTTCTGGCGGAGGCTATATACGCGTGACCATGTGAGATCATTTTCAGAGGGAGAGTTAACTCTTCCCACTTTCGACCGTACGAGGGCATTTTAGTAAAATAACTTCATACCAGTTGAAAAATTGAATCTAATTTTCGCTACATAATAAACTTTCTTACTTAATATAAGATTATAGTTAGACGATAACAACAATGAGAACATATCTGTCATCGTACTGCAGTATTTATGTATTCCATTTTGTAATACATAAAGAAAACTATTCTTCATTTCAAAGTAAACATTATCTAACACTTAAGATTAACTCCCTTTTTAATGGTGTATCATGGCCCATAGTACGATAAAAGTGCTCACGCGCGAAACCAGTAAGTCCTGGGTTCGAATCTTGCAGGGGGCGAGGTCGTGGATGCGCACTGCTAAGGAGTCCCACAATAGGACGAAACGGCAGTCCAGTGCTTCCAGGTTTTCCATGGTGGTCCAGCTTCAACTGACTCATGATCTTAACCATTGAAATTACTATAATATCCACAAAACTCATCTGATATTAAAAAAAAACTGTAAATTTTGTAAGGGACTATTAGATTACTCTAAACATAATCATTTTTATATGATTAGTCTTGTTTCATACGATAATAATAATTTTTTGTATATGTGTATATCCATTTATTTTAGATTTGTTTTCATAATGCATTACAATTAGTTGATAAAGAATTTATTACATTAGTTCATTTCTATGCTGATACATGGTATCCAGCTCGTGAAATTGTATTAAATGCTGTGAAAAATCGATATTCCATTGATTCATCTGGTACAATAATTTATATTGAAGGTACTGGATGTCCTTGGAATGCACATTTTTTTGAAATTGAAAAATCTTTATTATTAAATAATGTAAATGTAAATGAAATTGAAAAACAGAATCAAATTCTATTTGTTATTTATCAACGTAAAGATAATACATGGACTATACAAGCTATACCATTGAATGAGCATAATAATTTTTCACAAAGGTAAGTTTTTATTTATTTATTATGAAATATGTATATTATAGTTGTAGTACTCATTAGCAACTAGTCTTTTTCAATGGTTAAGATCATGAGTCAGTTGAAGCTAGACCACCATGGAAAACTTGGAAGCACTGGACGGCCGTTTCGTTTTATTGTAGGACTCCTCAGCAGTGCGCATCCACGACCTCGCTCCTGTGGGGTTTGAACCCAGGACGAACCGGCCGTCCAATGCTTCCAGGTTTTCCATGGTGGTCTAGTTTCAACTGATTCATGATTTTAACCATTGAAATTACTATAATATTCACAAAACCCATCTGATATTAACTAGTCTTTCTGTTGTATAATTTCTTAGTGATCGGTTAATCGTAAACTAACTATTGTGTCATTAGTTGACACACTTTGTTTTTAACTGTTCATCTATATTGGACTAGTTGTTTTTTTTGTACTTGTCTGTCCTGAGTTCATGGTTATTATGGAGCTTCTCACCTATAACTAGAGATCTTTTTAAATCCTAAACCAATCATTATTTATTAGTATTAGAGGTTTGTACAGATTATTGGATGTCATTTATATCATAAACCGATCTAATTTAGATAGCCACTGAAAACGGAAAAGCACTGAACATATGATTCGTGCTTAGCAATGTGCGTCGACAAACTTACCGAGGACCAGACTCAGGTCTCGATGGCGGACATATGACATGCATTACTGAATTCCAGCTCAGTGGTTTGGAGGTTGTGGTTGCGTGCGAGATCGGGTTCGATCCACGGTAAGGTCGTTGGTGCGCACTGTTGAGGAGTCGCATACTACTACTCCTCAGCTGTCTAGTGCTTTTTGGATTTCAGTGAATGTCTAAATTAGGTTGGTTCGTGATATTAATGGCTATTTGTTAATTATGGCGTAATCATATATATATATATATATATATATATATATATATATATATATATATATATATATATATATATATATATATATATATATATATATTATTCCGGTGAATCCAACGTCATTTTTTTTCGAATTTACATTATTTTAGACTTCCTCTACCTGAAAGTTGGAGAGGTTTACGTGATGAACAGTTAAGTAGTATTGTTGGGCTGCCTGATTGTATATTTGTACATTCTACTGGGTTCTTAGGTGTACATAAAACTCGTGACGGTGTTCTACAAATGGCAAGATTAACCATAAAAATGAAAGAAAATCAGTAACTTCTGTTCTCTTTTATCATTATCTATTTTTATCCTGGTTCCTAAAGCTAAAAAATACACGTATATGCTTTTTGAAATCTCCTTCTTTTCATCTTTTAAAGTATGATAGCGGGAGGGGTTTACTAACTGGATGATCGATCTCAAGTACATGATTGGAACAGTTACTTACTGGTTAAAGCAATTGGCTTTAACTAAATGTTTCAACCACATTCTGTTTACAATGGCCTAGACAGTCGGATATTATCACTGAAATGCACACAATTCGTATTAATTATAAAAAAAATCAATTATCAGATACATATTCATGTATTTTACATCAAGACACCCGTAGTGGGCGAGGTAGTGATACTTATCTGGTTGTTCAGACTGGACTGTGTAGGGCGTGATTCAAGCCTGTAACTACTAAGCTATCAACCATTAAGGCGACCAAATGAACCTGGAGTTCGTTGTCAAGCTACATTATTCACATAACTAGACGACAAGAACTAGAAAGCTGAAGATCTCAGTTGGGTATTTAAGTTGGCTTTTTCGTTTCACATCAAATTTCCTCAATATTGTGTATTTTGTTATCTATCCTGTAGTTGAATTAATTGTAAACACTTTTGTCTTAAAACCATTAAATTTAGTATCACTTAGTAGTATTCACAAAATCCGTTAACTCATAATATATGCAAACTTGTGTATATCTTTGGATATAATAAAAACTGCAACTTCCTCAATCTCTCACTTGGACCTGTGACAGTTCTTCAGGTCGAACAATATATGAAACGTGTTCTAATCGGTAGAGTATTACTATCTTCGTTTATTGTCATAACTACTATTAAAAAATCCTTCTCAGTCGTGAGCATATATCCAAACAATTTACAATAGTAAATTCCTTATTTTCAGTTAGAATTTGTGGTTGGATCGAAGCTAAAAGGGTCCATGTGACGATATTAGTTAAATACTGAAACTTCAAGTTATTACTCATGATTTTGAACTCATTAAAGTCGTACAATGTTAAATTATGAGTGATTTCGGGGTTAATTTGTAATGATATTATTATTCATTGAACATTAGACTAACTGTTCTACCGTATATACAGTGTATCCATACAAAAAGATGAGACCTAAACATAACAATAATAATGAAATGATAAATTGCATAATTACCAAAAGTTGTTTGCTTATTATACATAATTGAGTGATATTAAACATTTTATGTCATTTCTATATTTGCTAATATCATTGATCAAAAACTTAACCTTACTGAAACCGGTATTTCTTGAACAACATTGTGAAACTCGAGTGATTGTCTGACTATTGATGTTTTCTATGAAATTGTCTTATCGAATATGTGTCAGATAATCAGAACACTTGAAGAGAATAACATTTTTAGATTTGTTCAGTGAGTACATGATGCTGTCGATCGGAACACTTCAAACAAATAAGTGTTTTATGATCCTTTGAGCATGATTTGCTTGGTATGTTTTGATGAAAAGTTATTTCACAAGGTTATCATGAATCTCATTCATATTAAGTGAACTATTCTATTAATTATAATAAGTGGAATGAAAAATATCGTGTGGTGAACAAAATCTTGAGAACCATAATTTACTAACTGATTTACTCGTTACGTACGATTAATGCTTGAAAAAAAATATGTAAGTGGATGACTCTATTTGGATGTAAAATTGAAAAGGCTTTCAAGTACTTATACTTGATCCTATGATTTATTGTCTTTTTGGTAAGATATATATTTGTCTCATTTGTTTAAATAAATTGTTCTGCTAGGTATGATGGGGATACACTATAGTAGCTGCGAAATAGTTTTTATGAAGAGAATGACCAATTAAGCGATTATCAGAGCTACAAAAACTGTTAGTCATCTATAAGCAACATATAATCTAGAACAATATTGTACCACTTCACGTCATACTTCATCAACACAAGTAGGTGAAATTATCACGATCGATATCAAAGTAGAGTTAGTGGCAGTAAAAAATGAAATTAAGGTATGGAATAAGCTTAGGATTTTCGGGTAGAAAAAGATTACATACATTTACTCCATTGAGACTGATTCTCAGCTATATCACTCAACTACTAGTCGTCATAATCCCTCATCACAAACATACTTGGATTGTTGCTATCAATGGCGTAGGTGTATACACTCTCTGTCTTCCCTTAAACTATGAGAATAAAATCGCTTCATATCTTTCTACGTACTAATTCTTTCTTCCTGTACTATATCCTTATATGCAATCATTTTTTTGAAAATTTAACGTCATTGAATTAACTACTTCTATGAATCCGGTGTTCATCCTGCTGTGCTAATGAGGTATGACAACTTGGACCGATGCATATATGTGCCTGGTTCTACGTTGTAGCTAACTGACTGACTGCTATCAGAAAACTCCGGATTTTGTCAAGTTCTTCATTAAACAGGACGAATTCATCTGTATTCTAAGTTCTGTAATTGGAATTTCTCTGAATAGTTAGATAAAGAAAGTGCAATTTGTATGAGTACATACACCGCAAAACTAAGTAGAAGTAGAGAAACCAGTCGGTCTTGATAAGCACCACTTAAGATCGATCTCAGCTACTATTTAACCAACAGTTATCTAAGATAGTCTCCACAAATGACAAACATTACTGCAGAACCCGTCCATTAACAAAGTAAAATCCTATCATTCTGTCAAGAAATACCATTGTTGTCGGGGATATTAGGTAACATAACAGATAAGTCAGGACTGTTCCATTAATTTTTTACTGATGATATTAAGTAAGGACTATCCTGTGTTAGGAAGTAATTAAGATTTGGAATGTAAACCGATTCATCATGTATCATCCTTATTGTAGGATTTAAAAAGGCTGGGGTTTTATACAATATATGATTTTCAGGTACACACAACTGGTTTTAAGACGTTTCTCAACTGATTTTGTTACATGAGAATTATTTTCATAATGGATGAAAAACGAACCGAAACAAACCGTTTGTATAATTTGGAATGTGACATGAATTTTGTTATAACCGAAAATAGGGTTTGGGGTCCACGACTCTAAACTTCACTAGACCATTCTATGAGTAGATTGTAAAATCAACTACTAGGCTGAGTATTAGACCACGTAGTACACCTCATTCAGTTATCTTACTGGCAACCAAGAACCCGAGGTAGGTTACAATAACAGTATATTATCACATATTCCAAATCAGTAAACAGGTGGAGTCAGAGTGGAACGAAAGCGAAATCAGTTCTACATATAAGATGGCGTATTATACTACATATGACCGGATACGTCTGTCTTCGGTTGTTGGCTAATCACTGCTTACTCTGTCCAGCATATAATATTTAATACGATGTTAGCTTATATTCATCATACGATACAAAATGAAACAACACAAAAATACTTTGATCTTATTCACCCTAGCATACTTCGAATAGAAAGAGTACGGTACGGGGATGAGCTTGAAGCAACCGCAAAGAGTTTTCATGCACTTCGCAGCCAATCAGAAATCATCCTTCGTAAGTAAATATAGCTTATAGAAAACAAAACAGTAATACTAACAGTATACACAGATTTTACAAAATCAATGGATTTTTTAGGTTTTCTACAGGTTACTCCTCTTGTGAAAAAAACAATAGCATGTAGACTTATCTTATGGACACAAATTATCCGTTTCCTCGAATTCTTATAAGGACCTAAATAGATTTGTAAAAGCCCCACATTCTTAGTTAGAACTTTCAATAAGAGCTGACATCAGCCGCAATGCAGAACTGCTCTTTAATCATGTGGATAAATGCATATTTCGTAAAAAAAACATGGTTTAATTAGTTTACCATAAGCTATAGTGCCAACAGGTTAATATTTGTCTCAGTGTCTGGAGTTAAGATCCACGCATAGTATCAAGCTGTCTGTTAAACAAAATCTGCTTAATACGTCTAACATTAACAGGTTTGGACTATGGTGGCAAAATGAGTTTCTCATAATCATTTTAAATGTTTTGAGAAGCATACAAAAGCATACCAAAAGCCTAAAAGTCACATTTTTTATTCTGATTGACTCATCCCTTACACCATACTTTTGGCTTTCATATACAATATTCGAATAGCTTAGCGTATTTTTTGTAAATATCCTGCCTCGAGGAGTCCCAAAATGAGACGAAACGGCCAACCAGTGCTTCCAGGTTTTCCATATTGGTCTAGTTTCAATTAAATCACGATCTCAACTATTGGAATTACTACAATCTTCACAAAACCCCTTCTGATATAAATTAATAAATGATTATTTATCAGTTTAGTTTGCCTAAGATTCAATAAAAGAAAAGCAGTTTGGTAAGTAAGTTTTACTGCAAAAGATAAACAATACATATTTTGATAGGAATAATAGTAATAATAACAGTACAATAAGAATAAAATACATTGTCTTTCTTTTTTTAGCCTTTAAATAACCCAAAATAGAAAATAATGATAATCAGAATTATAATATTGTAGTAGTAAATGCAAGAAGAAAGATAAATTGAATCTTGTATACAACTAGACATAGAATTGAGATAAAAATTGAATATTGAATCTCTTCTGGGTTCTACATAATAAATATACATAAAGTTAGTTATAGTTACTCAATAAAAGTTGTATGAGAGAGAGAATGATTATCATCTTCATTTTATAAAACGTTTATTTACATTGTTTAACTTTACGCTGCATTTTCATATACCAAGGTGTATTTAGATGTTTACGTCTCTTCTTCACGTTGTGATGTAACTGACGTGTTTGTTGCTCGGTACTTTGACCAGAGATATTTTGTTGTCGTTGTATATGATGTTGATGATATATGGAACTTTTCAATGGTGGGAATTTGATTTTTATACCTTTATACGTTATTTTATATTTAAAACAAAGTTAAAAGAAAAGTGATAAAACTGACTAACTAATCAAATTAATGAAGTGTTAACTAAAAGTACAGGACATTAATTATCACTACTTCTAAACTATTATTGGGTAGTAATTCGTGTATTTGGCTTCGATTCACACAGCTAGTATGAGTGTTAGCGAAAGCACTAACTAGCTGTCCAAATTAAAGTAGATGAGACGGGGTTCGAACCTAAGACCTAGTCTGAATATCGAACAAATTAACCACTAAGTCACTACTCAGTCAGTCAGCTACAACGTAGAACCAGACACATATGTGCATCGGTCCAAGTTGCCATACCTCATTAGCACAATAAGATGAACACCGAACTCACAGAAGTAGTTAATTCAGTGGTGGTAACATATTAAATAAAGATTGCATATAAGGATATAGTACAGGAAGAAAGAATTAGTTGGTAGAAAGAAAGATATGAAGTGATTTTAATCTCGTAGTTTAAAGGAAGACAAAGAGTGATAGATTCTGAGTCATTTCACCAAGAGTTTCCAACCATTGGTTACGATAGTCACGCGGACCCCAACCAAGTAATCTGCATCTACCAACATGGCTCAGACCAGAGGTTAGTGACTTCAAGCACTGTTGCTAAGTTTTTGTTTGGCCATCCCTAACTTTCTTCCAACCATCTCCAACACTAGTTAGCATTGCGCGTCGTGGTAATCAGTGTTCAGGCAGACTACACTTGTATAAAAAATAATGTAGGTTATATTATTGCATAAAAAAGCAGAGAGATGAATTAGCGTTAATTAATGACCTAATAAATATAATAACACAAAAAAATTTGTAACTTTTGATTAGAACTATGAATTTTATTTTATGAATTACGACAATGTAGGTAACTATTTGTACATTGACTTTATTTAATAAATAATTAATTAATGACTATTTGTATAAATAAACAAAAATAATTGGTCACGTTTATTCAGCTTTTATTGATTTCATTTCACCTATAGAGTAACCATTATAGAAAACTATAGTAAGATTATCAATGATGAATCGTTTCAACCATATTTGATTCTGTGTTAAATTCAATATAAATATCATTCGATTCATAGTATTATTCTATAAATGAATTATCTTTAAAGTATATTCCATGTATTCTCAATATCAAAGAAGTAATGTTTAATTTGAAAGCTTCTAAGATACTATACGTGAAACGTGTTGGAAACATCAAAAATCGATATATAATTATTAGGTTACGATCTCGATTATGTCGGAATGCATTGGACTTTATTATAATGGGTATTACAGACATAAGTGGTCAGTGAGAAAATTGTCTATCATCTACGGTATCAATAAACAAAATTTTAGACAGATAAAATAAAATTGATCATATTGAGGAATTGTGAATTCAACTAACTAACTTACATAATCAACCAGATAGACGAACTATCCAATTATTTCCGACGGCTCATTATTAAAGATAATTACAAAGCATAATTTTTTCCTAGTATTATGAAGTTAAGCCACATCTCAATATTAAAAAGTACATGTCATATTTACAGTCACTTTTAAACAGCCAAGTGAGTATATTTCAAATAAGGTAATAAGTTCAAATACTCCAAAATTTTTAATACAGATTAGGATTTATAAAGATCTATCACAGAATAGTAAGTCTTTTGAAAATTATTATTATATGGTTTAAATGAGAAGAGTATTAAATGAGTTCTTGTTAGTATTAGAAGTTCTTCAAAAAACGAAAATATAGCTAACAATATACAACCACCGATGTGGATAAACTATAAATGAACCACATGCAAAGTTAAGAGCATCATATTTATAGTAACAGAAGCAGTATTGCTCCAGATAAAACATATCATATTCAATTTTATATATATGCTCGGAACTACAAAAACAAATACAAAGAAATGACGGGATGGCGGCTATCTACAGGCTTCACTGAATCAACATCCCATAGGAGCAAAAAATATAATCATTTAGACTGCATGTGACTTTCTTTCGAAAAAATATTAATGGATTCAATACTATCGATAAGCAGCATACTCCATATCTGTAAAAAATTTCAGATAATATAACAATTAAAAGACTAAAACTTGACATGTATGTTGAAAAATGTCAGTAGTCAGTTTGCGTTGTATGGTACTTATGTGGACAGACATAAGTAGTATGTAACATCAATCAGAAGTTGAAGGCTTATCAAAAGAAGGTTGAGATTTGACTGAAGAAAACAGAAATGAACACATAAAGCAACTGAGAAATGGGAGAATTACGAAGGACGTAAAGGACAATTGATGGGAGATTTGCAAATGAAGTATTTAATGTATGGTTTTTACATTTTACGAAAGAACTCTGTAACTTTTCACTAAATAATAAATTTTTTATTGTCAGAACAAGAGTTTGTGGAAAATGTAGTCATTTAATAGTTGAATTCATAAGTCCATTTAAACTAGACCAACTTAGTGAGTATATGTGACCAGTGGAGTCAAATCGTGTCAGTTGTGATGCAGTTACTCATTTAAGACAATAATGGACGGTCGCACAATATCATGGATTGGTTGAAGTTAAACATTAACACGATTAGATGCTGACTCAGTAACCAAGAGGTTGAGAATTCACGCGCGACACCCAAGGTCCTGTGTTCGAGTCCCGTATGCGGGATCGTGAATATGCACTGCTGAGGAGTCCCATACTAGGATGAAACAACCGTCCAGTGCTTCCAGGTTTTCTAGGGTGGTTTAGCTTAAAACGACTCATGAATTCAACTATTAAATAAATTGGTTGTCTCCACCTGAGTTCTCGTTCAATACAAGTCTTCCACTGCTGATATATATATATATATATATATATATATATATATATATATATATATATATATATATATATATATATATATATATATAATTGTTACTAGACTGTCAGCCAAAGGTATCAACTTTGAAGGCTTACAATAGCTTGTGGAATTCAAGTAGAGATCAAACGGACAAAGAATTGGAACTCAAAAAAATTACTTTAAAACTAATCAATGAGTACATTACCATGAAATTTATTTACTTCAGTAAAATCCATTCTATTTCCTGGAAAAAATTCATGTATACATGATAAATTATCATATTGATAATAATAATAATAATAATAATAATAATAATAATAATAATAATAATAATAATAATAATAATAATAATAATAAAACATACAACTAACCCATTAATTGTGTTTTTCCTTTAGCTCGTAAATCAAGTAAATATTTAATTTCATGTTTAATTAATTCTTCTTCTAGAAAAGAAAATGAAGTAAATGACAACAACAACAACAACTTACTATACAAATTCTCCATAAAATGTTTCCCTTGTATACCAGTGAAATATCTTAGAAATGGTTTTAATTTTTCATTTAAATAACTGAAATGAAAAGAAAATTAATTCATGAAAGATATTACGTAAGATAAAATTTTAAGAAAAGGTAGACAAAACTTCAAATAGACTTCTATATTACTGAAAGTGTTAGTTTACTACACATGATCTTAGCTCAGAGAGCCGAGAAGCGTCACAACTGACGGAGATTTGGAAGATGTAAAAACCTTTACATATTTGGGCAGCATCATTGATGAACATGGTGGATCAAATGCACATGTGAAAGCGCGGATCGGTAAAACGAGAACAATATATTTATAATTGAAGAACATCGTGGACTCAAAACAACTGTCAACCAACACCAAGGTCAGGATTTTCAATAGAAATGTCAAAACAGTTCAACTGTATGGGGTGGAAACTTGGAGAACTACAAAAGCCATCATCCACAAGATACAAGTGTTTATTAACAGTTGTCTACGCAAAATACTTCCGATCCGTTGGCCAGACACTATCAGCAACAACTTACTGTGAGAGAGAACAAACAAAATCTCAGCGGAGGAAGAAATCAGGGAGAAGCGCTGCAAGTGGGTAGGACACACATTGAGGAAATCACCCAACTGTGTCACAAAACAAGCCCCCACATGGAATCCTCAATGGTAGAGGAGGAGAGGAAGACCAAAGAACACATTACTTCGAGAAATGGAGACAGACATGAGAAAAATGAACAGCAACTGAATCGAACTAGAAAGGAAGGCCTAGGACAGAGTGGGATGGAGAATGCTGGTCGGTGGCGTATGCTCCACTGGGAGTAACATGAGTAAGTAAATAACCAGCGAAATCATAGGTCGATTTTATGCTTTTTCAATGTTTAGATAGAATATACCTTTTTCCCATGTCATGTAAGTGATTAGTAACTGGCATCAGTTAGATTAGTTTAAAAATGATTCCTAACTTTGAATTAAGAATATGATAAAAACTTTAAAATAATAAGCATATGTCTACCGAGAGACACTATTTTCTCGGGACGAAATTCTCATTTTTAATGAATGTTTGTGGACTGAGTTTTATTGTTAAACACTCTCTATCATTTGGATCAGCTGGTTTGGAATTATACTAACAACCTGACCTCGTTGATTGTCTCATTATTCATGGGTATAATTCAGCCACCTCATACGAAATGTTGAAATATTTGTGAACTATGAAAAGTGCTCAATGCAATCAATCAATAGGCAAGGTTATGTGACCTTAAATAATGTAAATATTAGATTTTCTAAAATGTACATACGATAGTATGAAAACTATTACCAATCTATAACGTGAAATAGAATGCTTATTCAAGTTGCCATAAACTGAAGTAATGATAATTGAATTCAGTAACGTTTGTGGGTGAACACTAACAGTGTTTGCCCTAGAGGGAACATCAATATGTTGTCATGATACAATATTACTAATTACAAACTTACAATCCATTGAAATCTTCCAATGAGTTTGTTGATTCAACTTTGTAGATATTAGTTGGATTTATACTTTTGGAATCGGTTAGCACTTGATTATTTACAACATTCGATGAGATATTGACTACAATTGGTGCACCTTTTATCAATTCAGATGACTGAACAATAAATGGAGCAGCAAGCCAACTACTTGGAGAAGGCTTTTTAGATGAACTTTTACTCAAAGATTCATTAATGTTGGATAGTTTTTTCATGGGTGTTATTTTACTATTTAATTTGTTGTGTGATATATTTGTCAATGATGGCGGACGTCCACGGTGTTTACTTCTGGCAGGTTTATATTCTTTTCTAATGTGTTTTTCTACTACGGGGATACGTTTTTTTACACGTTTGTTCAGAATAAATGCTAGAATATGAGGAATCAAAGCATGCTCACAAGCAATTTCTTTGCGCCTTTGACGCTCACGCAACCTTTGCATGTAAATATTGACTTGTGCTACTTTTAAAGCTAAAAAAATATTGGAAAATTACAAATATTTTAGTGAATACCAAAGTAAGTATCTGATATTTCGAGAAATGGCTAATACAGTAATAACTAAGAATCGAAACATATACCAACAAACCAATACCAAAAGTAATGAATAAAAATAAACAATATTAATTCCAATGATACAGTGACTTATCCTTCTTTGAAAAAAAAGATATTTCCTTAAAAAGATTATTACTGCTGAACAACTGACCATCGTCTATGAGTAATCAGTTGTTTAATTCCTTTTAGACGACCAACCGCCAGATATATATGAAGATGACTCGGTTTCATATAAATTTAGGACGATTATGTAAGCTTTAAAATAAGACAGATTCGATGAAAGTGAAATATCCCGATATCTTAGTTATTTTTTATAATTTGGTGTCAAAGTAAATCAATGCTAACTAGGGAAAGTGAGGAAATGATTCAGTAATCGAAGCATCCAACTTTCAATCATTATGTTAGAACCTCAAGACCCTTTTTAGTTTGGGGTAGTCGATTTGTATAATTGGTCTTTACAGAAAACAGTTTGGTTCTAAATCAAGTGTGAAGACCCATACTTGATCCGCTATGCATAACAATCAATCAACCAAATATGCAAAACTTACAAAATAAAGGTAAAATAATATAAATATTATGATAGAGTTATGAGATCATTGATTAAGGGTGTAGTTTTCACTAATGAATCACAGGTAAGAACTCCGTTTCATCTATTTCGGTCCAGATAGTTAGGTGGTACAGATTCAGACATACACTACGCAGGGATCTATTCATAGTAGATGAGATGAGATTTACCCCACAATCCAACGGTTAGAAATCGAATCTCCAAACCACGAATTTCCATCACGCAATTCAATGAATTTATACTTTAAAGTATTTCTGGATAGGATTCTTTTTATCCCAGAAGTGTAAATTAGTTATAACTAGGCAACTAAAATAGCAGTTTTTATCAGGAGAGTATGAGATAATGTAACATTATGCCATTATCTACTAATTATTAAAATTTGGTCAGCTATTATACAAAGGATTTTAACTCCCTAAGACCTGATGATATCCACCACAAAATGAATTTCATTTACACAACATCATAACACGACTCAGTGATTGACATTTTATGTTGTCTCACGCAATGTCTAGTGGAGAGCAGTTAGTCATACATTCAAATGGTGAAGTGGTTGCAGCGAAATAAGTTATTTATTCATCATAAATAAAAAATTTATTAGGAAAGACTTCAATATTGTTATCAGCATATTTATCTTTTCTGAATTAAACGATGCATTTTAGTTTCCAAAATACAGATTTATTTAAGACTTGATTGAAAACTAAGTTTCCGAGTATATCAGTCTTTTGAACACACTAAAAAGTTATTAAAGTTTTATATTTTCAATATAACCTTTTCTCACTTATGTCCTTTTTCATGAAATATTATTATATAAATAAACGACAGTACTACTTTAATTGTTATACGCCCTGTGATAATTTAAGTCAATGGTGTATTTCTACACAAGAAGCTATACCTGTATTGTTTTATTCTCTTCCTAGTAAGATCATGACTTAGCCACTATTAATTAATGTTGTGAAATAAAAAAACAACGTAAAACTTGTATATTTTTAAGAAGAAATTAAATAACCAATTTTTATAAGGATGATGTTATTTTCATATGACATCAGTCCAATAGAGAAGTGTTCAAGTACGAATTCAATCCTTTATTTTTTATAGAGACGAATGTCAGTTAGGTTATCTGTTAATATGAGTAACCGATCACTTTCTAGATGCAATCTAAAATATATCTATAAGAGTGGAAGTGATTAAGAGCTTGATCCCCAGGTAATGAACTGGCAATGATCAACTGATGAACCAATATTTTGATTTTAAGGTTGCTTTCTGCAAACAAATTCGTTTGTAAATCCCTCAAACAAAACGTCAGGGTATTTTACTAGAGGTAGCCTGTAATTTGTAAACATCAAAATATCTTCTACTTTATCTAGGACCTAATCCATTATGTGTGTTTCCCATAGGTTTGTACTTCGAGAAAATACTACCTTCCCTTTTCTAGTTTTCGGATCCTTTATTTTTTCACTCTTATTTATTTTCGGTAACATTTCACTTGAATACCCTGGTACGTTTTTAGATGAGATAAAAAAAGCCAAACACTAGGTTATATATATATATATATATATATATATATATATATATCACAGGAAGTTTAGATTTTGTCAACTAGGTTAAAATAAGACGCAAACAACTGGAATCGAAATGTCTATCAGTCAGTCATGATCAGTGTTGAACCTAGGACAAATGTGAATAGGTATTGAGAATATGGTTTAAAAAATTGGGGGTATGTATGAAGACATACGAGAGCTCAAGATTAGAGAAAGGTAAGTGTATGCATCTAAGTCATCACGACATTTTGAGTCATGTCCCCAAAGTTTTCAGTCACTGATTGCGGTTGTTGCGCAAACCTTAAAATGGTAGTCTGTATCTACCAAAACGGGTCAGACTATGGACCGACGTTACGTTTCGGTTTGGAAGCCCCTTGTCTTTTATCAATATGATATTATTCCAATAAACATCACTCGTCGATGCGAAGTGATTAGGTCTAGGAAATAATTTACGTCTATTCATGCTTAATTTTTAAAGTTTGATACAACCAACTAGTCATTAGTAAGATGAGAGTAAAACGGTTTCTAGTCAGGTACGAAATAGAGCAGTTGCAAAGATCCATAGCTACTACAATAAACTATTTTAAACCACATACCGTCCTCTAGGTCATCATGAGAAAAACTGGGATGTAATCTACATAGTATGCTCTCAGCATCGTTGTCATAATCCTATAAAAAAATAGATAAACGAAAGTGGCTGAACAAAACTAACTCGTTCAAAGTCACCACGGTTTGGCATGTAACCCAATAGCTGTTGATCTTCAATATCAATATATGATGAGTGTGGTGGTTGCATAGGAGATAACACTACGTGGTTTGTGTGATCTGTAATTCGAGAAGGATATTTATTATCATTCAACAACTCCAGGCCAAATACTCCACCCAAATAGCGATTACAGTAATGATACATGCATTCTTCAGAGCTTTTAGTTCCCACTTTTAAAGCTATATCCTCCCTTAAAAAAGTAAACTGAGTGGGAATAAAAACACGTACCAATTTCCAATTCCATACTGCTCCAAAGCTTCAAGAAGATTCAATTCCTCCTCAGAACTCCAACCCTCGAGAATAGAGTGTGGCAGCAAATTTAGTCTCTACAGTAATTAACGGAGGGATTACAGAATATTTACCGAAACTCGATAACCATGATTTTTCTTGTGTATTCCAGACTCAGCACCGTAACAGTAGCACTGCAAGTAACAATGAGTTTACAAAACTTACAGCAACACATAGCTGTACGCAATCACATTCAACACATATAAGATGCACATCAGCTTGTTTCAAACAGTTCGAGCATATATTTTCTCTCGGGATTGTGGACATCTATTTTATTAGTATCAAAAAAAAATATATCAAATAAAAAACGATTGGTTTTATCCACTATAAAAGATAATGTAAATGTTTTTTAACTGAAAAGTGGATGCTTTCGAAAGATATAGAGGAATTTATTTTTAAGACCTAATATCAAAAATAACTTCAATTTGTCTCATAAAACAGTGAAAATTAATTTTGTTGAGTACCACAGGGGTTCATTCTAGGTCGTTTACTGATTATACTTAATATAAATGAAGTCTTACGCATCATTATGTCTCACATGTTACGTAATGCTGATATCAAAGTCTGACAGGCAGAAGAGGCCGATGTACATGCACTTAAGACCAATGTAGACAATTTGGCAAGTTGATCTAATTTCTGGCTAACACCTATCACTGCAGCCAAGTATATCTACATACAAATTACGCACGTAAATGTCAGTAAATGCAGCACGAGGGAAGCGTCAGTGCATTTAGTCCTGCATTATATTGATTTAGGAGTCATAGTAAGTCACGACGAACATGGCTCACAGATGTTGGGTTGTAGATAACGATTTTAGAACTAAGTGTGGGGTCAGAGGCATGCTTTCACCGACAAATACGAATATTTGTAATGAAGTTTACACAACCCTAGTGGTCGAAAGCAAAAAGCTGTGAACAGGCCGTACCACTTTGTTTAAAAGGTAGTTCATATCACTGAGAAAAGTAGAAAGGACAGTTATAAATGCAATCAAACAGCTGCGTAGCTTACCGACCTCAACACCGCTTGAAAAGTTAAGCTTCCTTTCTTAAGCGTAGATTAAAAGATAGATTGGTCGCAGCGTAATATACACAGAACTTGATTTAACAATCATATATTCTATTTTTTTCACAACTGAAGACAAATTGGAGGACATAGTAGACTGTTCCAAAGGCCAAGAGAACACACGAAGTACCTATGACATGTGAACTTTCACATTTAGTAGTCACATTTGGAAGACTATGACCAAGAGGAATGATGTCCTAACCCTTAATTGACATATTTGAAGACACATGGAAGCTCATCAAAAAGATCAACCGACGTTCTTGGCTCTTGATATATAACCACGTGCAGTTTCTTGAATAGGGCTTTAGCAGAGATGGGAGAGAGATACTGGCCTGAAACTCGAGCACACCAGTCTTGACGGTTTCTGCATGATTTGTCCACTACTCTAAAACTAGTTTCCTTCTCCACTCTACTACTTACACAATTATGATAACCATGCTCTCCGCGATCTTTTTTGCACGATTTAACTATGTATAACCAACTCATTATTGCAAAATCAATCTTTGAAGAATATAAAACGAACCGAATTGCATGCCCAGTAATCATATACAAGGACAGCTGTAGAAGGACAACTGGATTTACCGCGACGGAGTTTTTTAGCTACTGGAAAACGAATATTCAGGAAAACCTATTTCCTCAGGAATTGGTCTAAGTGAGTCAACTTATCAATAGAGATATAACAACCGAGGACGTCATGACAAGGTATGGAAAGGTGGTAGACGAAAGAATTGCCTTTTAAGTCTAATTTTACCATAGGAAGAATTAACGCAAATGTGTACCTCTTGCAATGAAGTCAGGAAGGAATCATCCAACTGCGGAAGGTGTAACGTAGCACATATATAGCGCGCCTCCAGAACAGAATCCAATACGGTTGTCTCAAACATGAATAGACTGATTAATTTCTCCGCGCTCACTTCTAATTATTTCGGTACGCCTACAGTCATACGGTACTGTACAAAAAGTTGTAGTTCAGTAAATCGAATCCTTTCATTCAAGTTGGTCCGGTAGTTGTGTGTGGACGTACATTTCTTTTAATACATATGAATCCGTTTGTCTCAATTCAGAAGGGTTTCTGAACATCAGCAGCTATCACATTACTAGGTAGGAGATTGGTTATAATATGGAAAATAATGGAGTGAAAACTTGGGTTCTGCAAAAAGACGACTGTTTCACGAATGACAGATAAATTATGAAGTTGTTAGTGTGCAAAAAGAAGGAGTTGGGGAACTGTGAGAGGAAACGGGGTTGATAAAAGAGGGATAGGAAGTAGTTACTAATATACGTTGGCGTCAACCATGGTAATTCATGGGACATGCATCAAGTACGGCTGATTCGAGAGGAGAATTGTTATTCACGGTTGAGTGAACATTTCTCAAGTCTCCCCTTAAGCTTATGCATAGAGGTTACTGTAGTTACAGAGCATATCAAATGAGGGAAACTCGTTGTGAGAAAATCCGAGGGCGTACCTGGGTGTTTGCTCCCCTATGTACAGCCTTTCGAAGGTTGTCACGTGGAATATGGTGCTGATGTCTTTGTAGTATACTCGTGATGGAGTGGTTCGAAACACTTAACGTTGTGTGCCATTGTTAAATCATCAATTATTCTTCTATAGCTCTACGAGGATAATCACACGTGCTGTAGTTTGTCCTCAAAGGATTTATGTTTCAGCACAATCACTCAATTCATTCCTCGTTTCCGTATTTCGTCCGAGATGTTCATGACACTTTTGAGGAGAAAAGTCAAAGACATTGATATACCCTGCATATGTTTCAAACAGTGTCAGGAACAACTCTGTGATGATTCTGCTAGTGTCTACACGTAAAGTAGGGAGTTGCGTTTGCATTAACTGGATCTCACAGTGCAGTTTGAATTGATGTCCAAGCTTACCGCGCTCACAAGCCCGAAATAACAAACTGAGGAGACAATCGGGGGCGCATTTTCATGGAGTTTGTAGGTTCTTTATGTAAAATAAGGGATCATGTTTATGCCATGGCATTTCGACAAGTTTCATCCCATTATCTATTGCTCATTCCCCTATTATCGTATGGTTCTTTGGATGTTCGAATGAATCCGTTTCACTTTTGATGGACTATCATATTTTTGTATCCCCTGCAAAAATAAGTGCTTTCGCGCTAGTTCTATCTAACAGGTCGTTAATAAAGGTCAAGGACAAGGGTGAACCTAAGGTTTTTCCTTGTGAACCTCCTGATATATAGGCCGGTCGACTTGCGTGCACTGTACTTGCCTCATTACGAAACATCCTGTTCTCCAGGTACCTTCGGAGCCAAGATTGGAAAGGAACAGTGAAACCTTCGCCATAGGGGATATGTAAAGAAACAGGCCGACATTCCCGAAATTAACTGCAATAATAAACCTACCCCACAATCATATAATTGCCATGATTTTTGTTAAGTAATCGGTAAAACTTTATGGAGAATTCACATAATTCTTCATATTTATTTGTCCTATTGTATCACTGAGTAATATGATGCTTAGCTATCTTGAAGTACATAGTTGGTCTGGCGCAAAATGTGAAACGAGGTGTACAGAACAAGCTATGAAACGCATATGGAGAAATTCGAACTCTTCACTTCTATCTGAAGTTTGTGCTGATCATGTCGTTTAGAAGAACGATAAAAGCTTCACGACCAAACCATCCAGCTCAGAGGACAAAACTCCATCAATATGAATTGTAATATGTTATATAGTGAGTAAGCCATCCCAGCTATACCAAATGGATCAAGTGTTTCTGTGTTCATCATTTTTAACCTTCTTTATGGTGCAAAATGTTCTCAGTTTCCCACCAAGGATCGCACGGTTGTGAACCAACTCCGTTACGTATTTTAAACTTGTGTTGCTCTCTTCTTTTGCCCTGTAGCACTCATACCACTTCTTTATCCGTGGTGTTGGGTGATAGCCATGTTTCAATGAAGGTCCATGATCTTCGAAACTAACCGCAATTTCGTGTTTCTGATTTCTCCTAGTTTATTCTTTAGTCCTCCAACGTTGTTATAGAGGCACTTGATGGTTGGTCTCATCACCTGGTGCTCTTCTTCAGAAACATCTGTCCTTTGAATTTCAGGTAGTTTGTTGCTCAAAGTCGATTGATCAGTTCCGTTAGAAATAGCCACCATAGGCACTTTTTCTGCATCAAATGACTTATTACCAGGATCGTGGACTGTGTCCTGTACTATGGGTTGCTGTTCAAGGTCAATAGACACCTAGGTGTTTTTCTCGACCCTTCTAACGTTGTTTTACCAACCTTGATCGACTCTCATTTCATTTGATGTGCTGCAAAATAATCTGTTGAACTATGGTCTACTATGATATTGGCATTGCTCTGATAATAAACCTAATCCTAAAATTGTAGATTTGTCGTGATATAACTGCCTAATATATAAGATCTTACGTGGAAGTCACATCATCGTCAACACCAACTAACTGAATCGTAACAACCACCAATACATGTTGGAGAATACAAGCTTAGGATAGGGATAGAACAATATATTTAATATGAGTAGAAAATATAAGGTAACATTCAATAGGGACCACGCCTGCAAGGCCGATCCATGCCACCTGATCAATTCAAATTCATTCAATTCATCGTTCCCGCCTACTTCATCGTCGGGTTTTACTCCGCGTTAAATATTGGATGGCTATTTCCCCATGTTGAGCTTTGAAAATTTTGTAGTTAGGGCCTGATGCCACTACAAATCCCTCGATCTGTACCGGGCTCCAAGAGCCTCAGTTAAGTCCTCTCGGTACCTGAGGTTCACAGCCGATAGACGCAGAAATTCAATAGTCACGAGGTGCAACGGACGGTGTTCCGTATTACTCACATTACTCTGAGATTTATCTCGTGCAGTTTATAATTTTTTAAAATTCTGTTTCCAAGAAACAGAAACTTTCGAGTTACTATTAACCTTTGAAATTGAGCCTCTACTAGTCGTCTTCGTAGTCAAAATGTAAGTATTTGTGGTAACATTATTATTGTGAATATTAATAAAATATGGAAAGTGAAACACTTTGGAGAGAATTGTACGAGATGTGACTTTCTAAAAAATAACATCAAAAAGTTAGCGACTGCATGCTACAGAAATATAAAGTCTGACACAAAGTTGCAACCTTATCTTCGACCACTCTAGCAATCAACTTTGATAGCGAGTTCGAAGGTCTTGGATTCGAGTTGTGAGTGCGGGATCGTGGATATACACTGCTGAGGAGTCCCATACCAGGACAAAACGGTCGTCCTGCGGTTCTGGGTTGTCACGAGTGGTTTTAAACCGTTTGGTCCGTGATCACAATTAAATGACTCAACAATCAACTGTTCAAACAAAATAGATCAACAGACGTACGAATAACATGTAAACGAAGATGATGAGAGTAGAGATGAGTAAAACTAAGTTAGTGTTGTGGGATGGTAATGATAATGATGCTAGGTAACTTGCGGGACATGCGTCATTCGAAACTTGTTCAAGCGATTGGGTAGATGTGAACATGGCTTCATTCCATGGTACTTATTAGGAGTTCTGTGATTACACGGACTTGAAAAGAGCTTCTTAGTGGTAGGACGTGTAACTAGAAGTCAAATCATTCATGTTTTTGAGACTTGCGAGATGCAACAGTAAGTTCCTAGTGGAATTAGTTTCCAGGGTGGCCTGTGTTTGTTAACACGTTTTATACCGTTATCAGACAATCCTGTATTCTTCCGCGTCTTAGAGAAGTTGATTCGTATGAAAATGATTGTAAATAATGAAATCTCCATTATCTGGATTTGACCTTGAATATTATGACCCACTTCCTCTGTTGCATCTGTTTTTGTAAGAGATAAGTGTTTCTTTTTATTATTCCGCAGAGCAAAGCCAAACTAGATTGAAAAGCTTCTTAGTTACACTAAGAATTACAAATAGAGCTAGAGTCGTAGCGTTCAAACAGAAGTCGTTAACTCTGGATTTAGGGCTTAAGAGGCGATTTCCCTAGTTGTTTACCGTAGCGGATTTAGATCCAGGAATACTGATAGTGGACGTTTTAACGAATATGAATTTCTAGCTGATATGAAGAAACGACATGCAAACCTTAAAGAAACTTAGAATTACACGAAGAACAAAGAAAGTCTTGCCACTTCCTTAAATTTTAGTACGGACTCCGCTTTATCCTAACCAAATCAAGCCCCCAACCTTCCAGAAGTTAAATAAAGGCCATACAATCAAAATTGAAGATTCACTTCTGTTTGCTAGGTGCTGTAAAAACACATAACCATGAATTCGTGTACGTTTTACATGTTCTTGTAACGATTGGTACAACCAGCTAACAAGCTACTTCATACCTATAAGTTTTGTGACTATGATAAACATTTAGAAATTCTGATGTTGATATCTACAGACAAGCATTTTGAACCTATTCGGAGATGTAAGAATGATCTATGAACATAGATTTAACGTTACATCTATTAATAATATACTGTTTTCAGATATCTAATCAATGTCAAGATTGTGAGGCATTTTTCTATTTCACTGATTATCAGCTGTAAGAACATTATAGTCTAGTGGTTTCTAAATATGGTGGAATTCAAACGTGTTTGTCGTAGGGTATCTAGAACTTCAAACTGATTTGATTTTGTTGATGCAACCGAACCACTTTCCAGTTCTAGGTCCAACTAGAGAGTGTATAATCTAGTGAGAGTTGAGTTTTGGATATGCAATCATTCAGTGTAAAAGGTTAAATCATATTAATAGACGAGATCGAAGTGCTCGACACATAGTGGTCGAATTTTAAACATTTGAATGGCTACTTTACTCAATCGTCTCTAGCGTTTTATTCAAGTAAAAAGCTTTTTCCACTCAATTGATTTGTAAAACTAAAAATCACAAGCACCTCAGATGATGGTACTTGGTTC